TTTTAGAATCGTTCCCTTTTTCACTTCCATATAAGGAAGCAGTAAATGATTTTCCTTAATGCGTAAGGTTACAAGGAATGTACGAAGTGTGCCTTTTTACCTCAAATCTGTGTTGGTATAAAACGTAAGAACGCATAGTTTTGCGTGTTCCTTTTCATCATGATGTGATCCTGATAAGCTGTGCCGGAATTGTCCGGAGTCTTGTCCGCTCCCCCTCCTTTGCAGGAGTGGGGACGTGAACTGATATCAATACCAGCCTACATTTAAATAAACCTGTTTAGAACGTATGATGGCTTAAGACTGCATTTATTTCAAGCTAAATACAACACTGATAACAGGGTTGTAGCCCTGTTGTAGCCCTGTTATTACATATCTATATATATATATATATATACACACGAAATTTTACTATTATTCGGGAGAACAATATTTCAACAAAGGTAGAAATTGAAGGGGTCGTTTCAATGATTAGGAAGAGTAGCGCTTGATTATTATTTTACTTCTATATATTCCCCCCCCCCCAATCTTTAACGTTCTCCTAATAGCTATAGCTAGTTCAGTAGTTGGGCTATTTCTAATTTTGTTTCAGCCATTTTAGGACTTATATATTTAGTTTTTCAGTCGCTAGATTTTCAAAATTACATTTTTTTACATTATAAACTGATGAAAACCGATTTTAATGATGCTAAAAAATGTATGATGTAAATTGCACTAAAATAAAAATAAAAACTTAATTTCAAACTAAGAGCTCAAAGCAGACAAATAACTGCCTTTCAAAAACTGCTGATTGCAGAATTATATGGGTATAATTTTGCCATAAAAATTTTGGTTCACTATAACCGAGAGTTCACTATATCCGTAACGCAGGTAATTTAACTAATGGTTCCCAAACTCCTCCCTTTTATTACACATTATTCACTGATAAGCAATCCTCAGCATCAGATATGGAAACACTTCCCTCCTCTCAGATAATTTTTCCTGAATTTCTGTTATTCCGCTTTTTAAAACCGTCTGACCTGCCATTCGAGCACATAAAAGAAGTCTCATAAAATCGCTTAGCAAATTCATCGACATTTGTCCAGATACTGGAAGATTGCAGCTTCTTCGAATGATGAGCCACTTCAGTAATGCTTCTTCAACGTCCTTGTGAACTGCTTTTCTCAACTTTTTTCAGCCATCTAAATTTTTTTTCATGAGCGGAAATTATTAATTGCCTATTTTTCCATACGTTTCAAACTGCAGATTTGGATAGTTAATATTCCCTGCAAATATCAACTTCATTGCATTCATTTTCAATTTTTCTGATTATGTCCATTTTATCATCAATGGAGAACGTTTAACGTTAACTGGTCGCCATAGTGAAACTTGTGACACTTATTGTTTGCAGGCTTATTTTTAACTGAACTGAGAGTAAAAAGGAGTTGAAAAGAGGGCCTTACCAACACATATTGTCCAACCCTTTGACCAATAATGAATAATTACTCTTTCCCTCTGACAGAAAATGCATATTGATCCCACTGACACCTTACAGGTGCATCATCTGCCTGGGTAGGAAACATCTGCTTGGGTTGTTTAGGGATAGGAAAGTGAGATAAAAGAAGCAAACAAGAAAAAATGCTTATTGCTACATTCCCCTCTGTAGATGGTTTTAAACATCGGAATATGTATTTATTTTGAAGTAGAAATTTCAAAATTATTACAAAAAAATGAAGATAAAAATCAGTCGAAGACTGAAAAAAATTCATTATATTCAACTTCTTAACTTTTTTGGTTCACTATATCCACAAAAAATAACATTATACGAGTATAGCAAGGCAAGGGACAGAACATTTCGTTCACTATATCCGGGAGTTCACTATAAACCGTGTTCACTATAGCAGGGTTTGACTGTATTTCGAATTCTGACATAGTAACGGCCATTCATTTTACACTTATCGAACTAAACTGCAAAACAGAGTAAATCAGTTTATTTGGGAACATTAAATAAAAAGAATTAAAACATATTTAGAATTTTCCTTCTTCGACAGTTTGTCCAGATGAGAGATTCCTTTACTTATGTCACAATAGTAATATAAAAGAATACATATCATTTCATAGCACTCGTCCTTGACTAAGTAAGCTTACATCAAAATAGGAACTGCCCACTTAAAAATATTTTTTTTTTTCTTTTTCTTTCCTGGAGTGACGCAGCAGCAATTCTAAGTAAATAATAAAGCGTAAAACGAAACAAAGTTCAAACGGAACATTCGTCCTTGACAGAGGATAAAATAAACTATTTCTTGTTATTTTCACCAGTGTTGCTGGATGTGGAGTCCGTACCCGACTCATACAAATAATCTATTAAAAGTTTCTAAGAGTCTTCCAAAAGCAGTAAAATTATTACTAAATGAATATTAATTTCAATTTATATATGCATTTCTGTTTTCAATAGTATTTTATTTCAAACTATATACTACATAAAATTACCTATTCATAACATAAAATTATTTTTCTTAACGTAACAATTGAAGAAATAAACTTCACAGAATATAATTGAATATTTCATACGGCAAAATAAAAGATACGAATGTAATCGTTCAAATAGTTCCTGAGAAATCGAATTTTAAATATATGACATTTTTTTTAAAACTGTTCGACCCATTTCGTTTAAGTTTTGTATTTTTCCATATTAAATTACAGTCTTTCGAATGATGTGAAAATGTGTACACTTTATAGTTCAAAACTTAATGAAGGTGGTACGAATTATTTCCGAATTCTTCCCCCACCCCTTCAAATAATGAGTGAAAAACAGTAAAAAGGGTTGCTCCAGTTCAGTCGTTATTAGTTAAATATTTTGCCATAAGTCACTATCATGTGCGTTGGTGAAACGCGAGTGGTTTGAAATCTCCAAAGGGCGGCGATCCGGTTCGCAATATACAAAAATTAATTAGTAAAGAAATTAAAAAAGTGTTTTAAATATTTAAATTAAGTTTAATAGTGCAATGAGGAATTTGAAATCAGTCATTTCCTTTCACTGAAATCGATTTCAAAAAACGGCAATTAACTTAGCAAAGTGTGGTACGCGTACCCCCAGGGGTACGGGAACAGTTTAGAGGGGATACTTGTTCTTATGCAAAATATCTTGCAACAAACGAAAATTTCAAAAAAATTTATTCAAAAACAAACCATGAAAATTTACGATGATGTATTTTTCTATTGGCTATTTTTTGCAGAGTTAACAGTTAATAATNGTGATTTTTAAATTTTGCGCAATTTTTTTAAAGTAAAAATAAACATATTATTAAAAAAATAATACATTCATTTTTTTATTAGTGGTACACAGCGTTACGAAAAGTTTAGAAAGGGTACACAAAAGTCATAAGTTTGGGAAACACTGACTTAACCATGACCAACCATGAGAAAGCCTCCAGACAATGGCGGTAACTATGGTAACGGGAAGTGTCGGGATCCAGTCGGTAAGCGCGTATACCTGTCGTTTCATAGGAGTTTATTAAAATGACAGTTTTACATATTCAGTGCATAGTCTTATATATTCTATAATGCTTATGAAACTTTATTTTAAAAATATGAAATCGAGCACTGTTTTAGTCTCAAATATATTGAAACTTGGAACTTCATGAAAGAAAACAGTTTTTAATTTCATTGATAGCTTTTTCTTGTATTTTCATATTAATTTAATTTTTTTTCTATAATAATTGTGAAAATTGTTTAAACGTACCTCTCTTGAATGAATCATTGGAATCCATCATTCGTTCTGTTGCAACGGAGGAAAAAAGAAAGATTCTCAACAATTACGTTTAATTCTTGATTCTTGTGAAAACAAAATCAGTTCGGGAACAAAGTTACAGCATGTAATTATAATGATTGTTTTCCATCATTATTTATTTATTTACTTATTTATTTCATCTTAGAGAAATGCATTTATTTATTTCATTTTAGATTTTATGATATTATTCTTAATAACGGGCTACATATGTCTCCCGTACTGGTACGTCTTCTTATACGTACCGGTTTGTCTAATAAAATGTAAAATATTTTAACTAAAACCTTAACCTTTCCCTGAATAAACTTTTTCCCACACTATTAAAAATAAATAAAATGATATCAATTCACGTTTCTAAAAGTATCACAATTATACACTCTTTTAAAGATTAAAACTAAATAAATTAATAGATGTATCTTTTTAATCTAAATTTTCTCTTTCAAAAAAAGCCACTACCAAAAAATAAATTCAAAATATAATTCTACTCATAATTTTAAATTTTCCTTTTAAAAATATACTTTCATAATTTCTTCTTACCTTAATCTTCTTTTTCATTCACTAATATTCACTCCAAAATATGATTTTCTTTTTTTCTTTCCTCTCGTTTAATGAAGTCGCCTGCATAATAATTTTTCTTGATATACATAATTTTCATTTTAGGTATCTTGGTATCAAGTTTTCTAAGGAATACATTAAATCCGCATTTAGTGTCGCCATCTACTGAGAGTAAAAGTAAAATATATTAAAAGTGCCATCTATGTTTACATTTTCATTTATTTCGTTCCCGTTAGTGACGGAAGCTGATTTCTAAGAAGAAGAATTTATTGAATCCAATCAGGGTAAATGTATTTCTGCTTTAATTTTTTAACTCTGTCTGTTATCCCTGTTATAAAATGCTCTCTACACAAATTCATTTCCTATGAAATTGAATTCATTGCCTTCTATTTTGCGATAAAACTAAAATGTTATTCAGTATTGTGATATCTTTTTAGGGTTATCTGATTTCGTGTTTTTTTTTATAATTATTTTATTTTTATCTTTTTATTCATTTGACTTACATCAGACAATAAATGCTCTATTCCATGAATTTTTTTTATTCAAACTCGAAGCGATTAACTTCATATATTTGGTTTAAATATTACAAAAAAATAATTATTGAATGATTTATAATTATTAAATAATAAAACAGCCCAAAAGAGGGTTTATGAATGAAAATGTGTACGTAAGTTTTAAACAAAAGGGTTCAAATTTAATTTGAATTTTAAAATATTTTCTCTTGTTCATATAAGCTCAGTCGGAGATCGAGCTATTAGTCCTGATGCTGAATTATTAACGTTAGAACTCTGGACACTACTCTGCTTTAAGGATGCTGAATATTTTGGATCTACTACTCCAGTGTTCCCCAACCTTTTTATCACCACGAACCTGTCAACGTTTGATAATTTTACCGCAGCCCGCTGGGGGGTGGGGGACGTCGATTGCTTATATTGCAGATTATTTTGATTTATTAATTTTAATTTAATTGTATTTAAACATGCCTTCAAAATAAAATACAGTTACACCGAAAAATAAATATAAAGTGATTTAACATTTTAACTTATTAGAACGTTAAATCGATGAGAACCTTGAGCTAGTTTATTTGCAATGAGACAGTTCCATCTGGGGGTAATCGGAGACAATGATACATTACAAAGATTAAAAAATTTATGTCACTACCTTCGGGGGCTCCTTATTTTAAATAAATAATATTTTAATGGAACACAGATATTTTTAATTTTGGGTATAAACCTAGGAATTTAAATTCAGTTTTAATAAAATTGGTGGCCCGGTACCATTTGATCCACGGACCAGTACCGGTACGCAGACCGGGGGTTGGGGAGCACTGTACTACTCGATATAAAGTGCGACTAATCCCAAAAAAAAAAAAATAATAAATAAAGGAAATAAAAGTGGGCACAAATCGTCGGGGACACAATTCGTGTCATTATTCGTCTTGAAGACAATTCGTTGTGGGCTCAACTCGTCGCAACGACAGTTCGTCGTTGGCATAAAGTTGTCGCAGGAACAACAGGTTGACTTGCAACGGTGGCGCCACAGTTCGTTGCAGCGATGATTCGTCTAGGGCAGTGTTTCCCAAAGTGTGGTACGCGTACCCCCAGGGGTACGGGAACAGTTTAGTGGGGGTACACGTTCTTATGCGAAATATATTGCAACAAACAAAAATTTCAAAAAATTGTATTTAAAAATAAAGCTAGCCATGAAAATTTACGATTGCCCATTTTTCTATTTGCTATTTTTTACAGAGTTAACAGTTAATAATTTGTAGTATCAGCAGCCAGTTGTGATTTTTAACTTTTGTGCAATTTTTTTATAGCAAAAAATGCATTTATTTTTTAACTAGTGGTACACAGCTTTGTGAAAAATTTAGAAAGGGTACAAACAAGTCATAAGTTTGGGAAACACTGGTCTAGGGAACAGTCGTAGCGGATACTTCTTAACGTATCATCAAACAATCATTTTTTGAGGGGAAAATTTTTTTTTTTAACATTATTACTTATAGTTAGGAAACCGAAAAGTTTCAATCAACAAATCTTTTAAAATGTGTAAATGTAGAGCGGCACTAATCATAATCAAGTTCTAAACACATCTTACATGGTTTTAAACTGTCAACAATTGTGACTTAGTCATTTCGTAAAAGAGATTTAAATGGATTGTAAACTATTTTAACGATTCGATTTCATCTTGACTAAGCAAAATATTTGTACCCGTCGTAACATACATATTTGTTGATAGAACTGTAATAAGGTATAATAATTCAAGAAATGTATTCTACCTAATTTATGAAAATGTTATAGAGAGTCTGTATTTATTTAATAATCGAGCTTAATAATTCTCTTAATTTTAGCAATTAACATTTTTTTAAAAATTTTCCTTCATTTTATTTCAATTTTTCTGAATTTATAAATAGGAAGAAAAAAGTTGCTAAAGCTATATCAAAAGAAAAACAAAATGTTTTCTGAACGGAAGACTGAACTTTTAATTTCGGAAACTGTTGCTTTTTAAGATTTAAGGATATCAGTAAATATTCCAAGCAAAAATACTTTTAAACAAAATAAAAGAACAGAATGCCCCAAAAAAATGTTTGATTTTTTTTAAAGATCGGATTTTCTCTCACTCGATGCTATCTTATTGATTCAAGAGGTAAACTTTAAATAAGTTAATTAAACGCTGGCTGCAGACGATATTTAAGTTATATATCGTCTTCACTTTTGTTATGAACCCTTTTACAGATCGAATCTCTGAATATAGTCTCATTGGATGCGTAACAAATTCGCTAGTTTATTATCGTGTCTTTATGTTGGTAAGTGATATCTTTTAAATCGTTTCTAACTTTTAAATTTAACTTTCTTGAAATGACTCTTTTTTATCGTATTTTCATTTTCGAAATTTACGCGGCTTCAAAAAATAAGTATTTTTTTTTTTGAAACCGCTTAAGTTATAATTATAATTTAAGTAATTTTTTGCGGAGTTGATTATCAAAGAAATGACGGTGAGGAGTATCTTGTGATAATAATGAAAGATTTGCTACACACCGCATTCCTTGTTCATTTTTTTCAAAAAATTGTGAAATAAAATGTATTTGCGAGTATAAAGAAATTTGACTCTCGATTTTTAAGATTATATTTCCGATTTTGCTTAACTTAATAAAATTTCCGAATTGATATCGTTTGATTGGTACTTTTTTTTATTGGAAGTACCGGAACGATTTAAGAAGGCAGACGATTCACGAAGGTCGGTTTAGATAACTACGCAGGATTGTAAATAAAATGTTACTCGAAGCTTCAAATAACAGCCACCGAAGGAACAAGTTGAACATAACAGAATAAGTTACTACTTAACAATCATAGGATGCTTTAAATAATCTGTACGTTACTGAAGCTCTGCTAGATCCTTAAACAGGATTGAAAACTTGTATAACTGATTAACTTAAAAGCGTTATGCAAGTGCACAGCAGCTTGACTCTTCTGTAAGAATTACCAAGTGAAAAAAATCCTCTTAATTTATACAACTTCCAAAAAATGTTACAGGTATTTTTTGTGTCTAAAGATCAAAGAATTATTTATTACTATTGAACTGAATTATTTTTTTTATTGACTTTTACTGTAAGATTATTTACTGATGAAAAATAACATATCTGATCTCAAATTTTTAAAAGAATTTAGTTTGCATCAGAAAATAAAACAAAATAAATAACTCTCTTCTAAATTATGCGTGTTTAAGATTTCTTCTTTGTTTGATAAAAGCCTTGATGGACAGCCACCAGAAGCCAAAATTTTTCTACACATTTGCTTAATTAGTGACTTATTGACGTTGTTGAACAATAAGTATTCCAAATTAATTTTCTTCTTTTAAAGATAACAGAATGGAGTGGTTGAACATATTTAATGAGGCACCTGTAGCAATTGCCTTGATCTTGGTGTTTGCCAGCACAGCAGTTTACTACATTCTTGTTAACAGAGGTCTTCCTCCTGGTCCCCTGGGTCTGCCCCTATTAGGATACTGGCCCCTATTGAAGAACGATACCTGTCACTTGCAGTTGCAGGAATTGCAGAAAAAGTACGGAGACTTATTCAGTTTCAGTTACGCCGGTGCTCTGTATCTCAACTTGGGAAGTATCCACGCTGTTAGGGAGTTCCATATAGCTAAGGCAGACTGCTTTGAGAGAGTAAAAGATTACAGTTTACTGAATCTCTATTTTAAAAATGGTAAGTTGCACAGTTATTTATTTATTTCATTTATTTAATTATTTTATTTATTTATTTGATTTTATTTATTTATTTTAAATTTCGCATTAATTAAGAGAAAAAACATATTTTTAAAGTTAAATTAAAGAAAATTTAAAATTGAATGTACGGTTTGATGCTCTCTACTTTGAAAATTAAAAATTTTTTTTTTCTGAGTCTCAAAAATAGTTTAAAAAAATTCATTAATAGAGAAAACCAACTAAGTTTTTTGATGCATGCCAGACCATTCAAACTAAAATCTATTCATTTTGACCCCAAGCAAAGCAACATTTTAAAATATTGTTTTATATCTATAGTTTAGTTCTCAGTTTTGTTGGCTTTGTAATTAGTTCTGACTGACACTTGGTGAGAGTATTTCTTGCTTTTTCAAGCAAAAAACATTCATTTTCTCCACACATATTTTTATAATTATTTATTTATTTATTTTTCATGTTTTTTCTTACTTTTTTTTTGACTTTCTAGTTAGTTTTGGAACCTAGTATTTACTATGTAATTTTTATTTTAATTTGAAGTAAACAGGTTAAAATGTTTAAATAATTTACTTACTACACTTTCATCAAGTACATCAAGTTTCGTCAGGTACCAAAGTTTAAACAGTATTTTTTGCTTTGAAATTAAATTAGTATTAAATACTAAACTCATTTTCTACGTTTTAATGTCTTTCACCATTCTGTCATTTTTAGAGGTTGTAATTAAACTTTTTACCATCAGGTTATGAGGACACAAATACTGCGAGAAAAGCCCTTAGTTCAATGGTAGTTAAAATCGAAATATGATACTTGACTCTAAATGCTCATGAAATAAATAAGCAGAATGGAATAACAAATGATATTCACGTACAATTCACGAAAATCTGTTTCGGTTTTTGCCGAAAATATGATGAAAAATTGTCACCTACAAGCTATAGCTGCAAAAGTTATTTTTGTTTCTGTGTCATCCTTTCTCTTTAACTTAGGTCGTTTATGGGTGATTCTCACGAAATATGTCAATTTACAGCCCCTTGCTCTAAGATCTAATGCTATACTACTGAAAGAACTTTCTTTTAAAAAAAAATTAATAAATAGCATTGCTGTTAGCATTTTAAAAGGACTTTGCATTAGCATTGACTATTTTGTATAGTTAAAAAATTCAATTGAATTTCAAAATGTCATTTTGAGTGTCATTTATGTCACAAACAATATTTCCAATAATAACTAGCTTCAAAACTTCCCATTAATTATTCAATATCTAATTTTTTTTTATCTCAACCGTTGTAAGTATTTCTAGAATATACGCATAGGGTATTATTTACAAAAACTTTGTTGAAAATTTTTTTTTCTGTCAATAATTTGTTTGTCACACGAAAATCTGCCATTTTCCTGGCCACTTTTATTTAGTAATTTATAACCAAAATAGATAGCGCCAGCAATCAATATCTTATGTTAATAGATTGCTTAGAATACCTTACTATCTGAACATGTCTTATTGCATGAATAAAGAACCAACTTTCTGGTTCAAAATCTATTTCCAAAATTTTTATAGGTGAGTAGGTTTTTATGTTTTCATTTTCCTGTCTTCTTGAAATCATTAATAACATAAATTACATAGATTTATCTGAGTTATTTCAAGAAATCCTGTTGTTTTCTGCCGAATGTAAATGTCTTAGGCCAAAATAGTAAATTAATATAAAGTTAAATGCTATAAAAGGGAAAAGTTCGTCATTATCCTGGCTGTCATTTTCCTAGCTTATGAATCACAGGACACTGACGTGCTTCCAGAAAATTTTAAAAGCAGTATATAGTAAAGAGGGAAAGCAAATATTAACTTAATATCAAGTTTATACAAGATTGTAATATGCTTGAATGTAATAAAAGTTATTTATTTATTTAATGATTGATTATTATACACAATTTTATTCTGTACGTATCAGCAACAAAAACATTTTCGATTCTTTCTACAGTGGATGAAAGAATTAATTTAACTAATTCATGGTCCATCTAACATAAAGGCTTAAGTTGAGTAACTTACTATTAGCTTAAAATCACTGTTTTTTAAACTTCTAAGCTAATATTTCATTTTCCTGGCATTCAAAATTTTGTGAAATTCTGTTTGTTTTTTTTTCCCTTGAGCAATTGTCAACAAACTACACTGCTGTCTGTAAGATATTAATAAATGTAATTAAATAAATACGCAAAAAAAATTAGATTATTTTGAAGACCTTAAATTTAAAGAAATTTTTTGTTCCGAATTGTCATGTTTCCAGAGAATCACCCTTATTATATTATTGTGATGTCCTTAATTGTAACGTAACTTAATTTATATATTTTAATTTAACTTTCTTAGAGAATATTTATTTTAGTATGATGTTTATGTAAATGCATTTTCTTCATTTAAAATTGAGAGTTAAGATTAAATGCATTTCCGTCCCTATCTTGTTATTGGGAAATCTGTTAAGGTTGACGACTGTGAGAAAATTACGATTAAAGAGTTGAGGACATGGGTCGCAAAAACCTACGATGATTGGGTTCTAACTTTTAAAAGGGTGGATTTTTGTATTACAGTAAAAACTGGAGTGCAAGAGAGAATTCATTGGTAATGAAAAGATTGAAGCTAAAAAAAATAAGGGGAATTGATTGGATAAGAAAAAAGTTCAAGTTGGTAGACAATTAACTGAAAGAGATCAGTTAAAAAAATTCTGTAGAGGCTTAGTAGAAATCGAGGATAGTTTAAGTTGGGGGTGGGGGAATGAGAGGAGAAAAGGTTGGGGAAAAAAAGTTTTGTACTGAAAAGCAAAATTAATGGAGAAATGCTAATTTGTCACAATAATTAAAAAAAAATTTGATCGCCAAAAGAATATCACAGGTTACCCACTGGCAAAATGGTTGTTGTGCAATTTTCTTCCCGTCTACGTTCTTTGGCTTTAGCTTTTTCAGCCTCGGTAAGTTTAGGCCTTGCTATCGTTTTTTTTTTTCCCTTGCATCAACTCTAACTTTTTATTTGTGATATTCACCTGAATTAGTATTGAAAACGATCCAGTTTGAACTGTAGATTAGAATTTCTGATTCTTAATTGAAATAATAAAAACCAAAATATCGTTCAAATGATGAAAATCTCTTTTATTCACAACTCAAGAAGTATTAATGGGATCTCTCTGATCCCATATCTCAAAAATAAACTCGCCGATTTAATGCACAACAAAATTAAAAGCGAAAAAAAGAATTAAAAATTTTTTTTTATAAAAACAGCAGCGGTCGCGACAGCAACGCATGCAACGAAGACGCGTGCGCCCTGTTAACTATTGAACACAGTTGAGAAGTGTGATGACGTCCAAATAAGATGCGCGCGACATCAAACCCGAGAGAAGACCCATTTTATCAATGGGTAAAACACGAAAAACAATAGTTAATTTTTTTTTGTAGAGGGAACGTGCTTTTTAAATACCTAGAGTGTATATTTTTAGTAGTGCATCCTAGATCAGTTGCTTCGAAAATTTGAATCTTCTCTCGCTCTACCCTTTGATAATTTAATAACTGGACAAGTTTTTGAAAGGTGTAGTGATGATTGGTTTGTTCAGTGGCTCAAGTAGGTGAAAACAGATGTGTATTTAATCCTTAGAAGTTTTCTTTACATAACCTACCATCTGAAAAATGTTTTTAAGAAAGAGGAAAGAATGACCTATGCAAAGGAATATGAACGATGGTCTTTAGAGATATGGTAAATAAACATTTTTAAATTTGTATTTATATTAACCTTTACAAATTATAATTCATTTTGTGATTGATTTTAATACCTTCACCTCTTTTATTGACCATTAGAAGATTTTAAGTAAAAGTATGTCAGATCATAATTTGGTGTAGTTTAATCTTGTAGGGGAGAGTTGGATAAAACGGGATACCATTATTGTTTTTATTTACTACGGAATATCTGTTTAGGAAAACAATACATTATTTTTTTTGTAGCTACAACATTTATTGAAGCACACAAAAAACATATTTTCAACTAATTTTAATGACAGCGAAATAGAAAAAAAAATTCATTTCCAAACTCTTACATATCCCGTTTTAGCATACCTGGGTTGGATAAAACGGGATAGGGTTTACAATGTTTAATTTTTTGCATATATATAAAGATAAAATAATAAATAATGCAAATATATAAATAATTGTTTATGTATAATAATTGTTTATGTATAAAAAAGTCTTCATCAGAGAAATACATTACAATTAGTTCTAAAGAAAGATGTGAAATCCTAGTGTCGAAAATAAAATGCTTAATAATGAACGTTAATAAACAAATTTTGCATTACTATATAAAGAGACTAAATTATTCAAAAAATATATATAGTTAATATAAATAAGTTGTTTAAAAAGCCTAGGCCTGCATTAATATATGGCTATTTTAAAATGTAATAGTCCAATAAATAAATAGGTGGATAAAACGGGACATGAAAAACTCTATCCCGTTTTATCCAACTCACAAGTGTCCCGTTTTGTCCGACTCCGTCACTTTTTGAAACAAACATGGTTGCTGCGTAAATGTGAAAAGAAAATTAGATAGGCTGCACATAAAAATATTGGTAAATAAATGGATAATTAAATTTAAGACTCACCGGAATTTTATTCCCATATATGTAGGCAGTACAATGTAAAAAGCAACGCACTTAAATGTAGAAAATGGCAAAAAAATAGAGTTAAAAAATTCTGAGACCTACAACTTTCTATCAAATAGTGATCTCGAGGAGGGACGCACCGAGAATGATATAATCACGGTCGAATAACACGTTTCTGTCGTTGTCCACTAGATAGCTGCAATAGTCTGGTCCCTAGGCGACGTATCCCGTTTTGTCCGACTATCCCCTACTTAGTCTTTTTATTCAACCACTTTTCACGGCCGCTACTCAATAATATTCAGCAAAGTCATTTTTTTTTCTTTCAAAATATTGGTATTTGAAGTAAAACTTCTACACTACCCGTGCGCTGCAAAAATTAAAGTAAGTATTTCCATCATTTCATGGTTATTAGCCATTATAAAAAAAGTCCAATTTGAATTTAATTAATAAAATAATGGGCACAGACATTCAAATCATTTAAAGTCACAGACGCTTGAAGATCTTTTTTTTTCGTGTGTGAGTAAATAATTAAAATCGTAAACAGAATTTAAGAAAAAAAAGAAAAGAAATTTCTGTTTGCAAGGAAAACTTAGATAAGCAGCTTCTGATGCTTTTATACCCATTTTTGCTAGGATTAACCTCGATAATAATTCATCAAATATAGAAATTATCTTTCGTTTTTTTCCCTCTTGATCCTCAATAGTCACCCATCCAGTTGCATAATCAATTGTACTGTATATTTGGGTCATTTTGACCGTGGGTAGCTACTAGGGGTCAAAATGCAATTTTGCCCCCTCTAGTGTGTATGTATTTTAAGAGGGATAGTCCGAAAATAATTTCCGTTCTAGTTTTCTCCAGTAAATCGGGCAGCAATACGATACACAGTTGAACGCGAAGGACATCCATACACTTTTGGGTATATCGTTTCACCATGATCAGGTAGGTGGCGTAGTGAGCACGTAAAGCGTAGTCCCGGTTATTATTTCTGGACAGAGTTTGGAGGTTGGAACCATTAGTGCTACTTGGTCCTGTCACTTGGTACTACACCCTGTCAATAGTGATGGATGTAATTTGAAAAAGACAGCCTGGCTTTCTCACACTTGTCGTTTTGTTGTTGGTTGGCAATGCAACACTCGGCTGCGGTAACGTAAAACCATATTGCAACTCTTAGTTGGGACGCCTGGACCATTCGCCATACCGTCCTTATTTCCCCACCCAATAACTTCCATCTGTTTCTGGCATTGAAGAACTTCGGTGAAGGTGTTCTGGCATCAATGCTGAAATCACACCAAATGCAGAGGCCTGATTTTTTACGTCCTGTCTCTAATATCTCCTTATAATTTCTTGTTTTTCACATGAATCTCTGTTCACAGTCACCGGGGGAGACGTATTTTCGGACTGCCCCTCGTATTAACCAGAATTCTAAAAATGTGTTTTAAGGATGGTGACTACTTGTATTTTATTGTGAAGCCTTTTAAACGACCACTTTATTTATTTATTTATTTTTAAAAAAGGCGTTGCTTTTCTGAATGGAGAACCATGGAAGATACTTAGAAAGTTCACGATGCAGCAGATGAAAGAATTGGGGATGTCGACCGTGAAAGAAAGCATGGAAGGACCACTGTACGAATCCATCCAGGAGACCTTAGAATTCCTGAAATGTAAAGAAGGCGATCCCGTAGACATCATCCAGATGCTGTCCAACAAATGCAACGCCATCCTCCGCCGCTGTTTATTCAGGGACAGTTGCATCACAGAAGAAGAAGTTACGGAGATCAACGCTTCCTATGCCATCGTCATGGGTTTCACCAGCGTTAAGAACACTCTCCATGCCGGAAACTTGGCCAGGTATCCTCTATCAGTATTATTATTAGCAGTGAGTTGAGTGGTGTACTGTTAATGTGGTTTCGATGACAGGGCTTCTGATCAATGGGTACTAGCTTGTCTGTAAAGTGAAGGTGGCTTGCGTGCATTGCTGTTTACGTGTACAGTCATGTCGTAGGCCATGAAATTATGGAGCCTTAACATTCATAAATCATTGGCTCATAACGGGTTAGATGAGAGGATATTTATTTTATTCATAGCAGATTCAAGGATTAATAACTACGCTTTTCAAGTGGGCTAAAAAGTTAGAAATTGATTTTATTTTTGTCAAAACTAAAAGGAAAAAAAGAGATCCCGTGATTTCCAAAGACGTGGCAGTGGTGATAGAATTTTATAATCAAAGTGATGCCATCTAATTGTTGATAAAAATGAAGTTGTTCTCTCGTCTTCGGTTTATTTTAAGGGGAAAAAATAGTTTTCGACGAGTTTATTGTGTTCTGCAATTTTTTTTCCTTTTGAATTTTGGGCCTGTTACTTTGTTGAAACTTTTGTGATCGTCAAGGTTTGTCTCGATATTCCAGACTTTTCTGGTAAAAATTATTTCGTTTTTATTTGTTCAGATTTTTCGCGTTTCGTCCTGATATTCCAAATTTTTGCGTATGTTCAGACGACTCCATTTTTAAAAAAATGGCAAATGCAGATTTTAAAAAAGTTAATTTGAAGAATAAAAAAATTTTGATTTTCGATCTAATATGTCTTCTTAATTTAAAAAATAAAACTCTTTAAAATCGCGATGTTCGATAGTTCCAATTTAAAAACCGTGCATTTCGCTTGTCAAAAATAATTATTTTTTAACTTGAAGTGTTATTTAGAAGGCGGAATTTTCTGAAGATGTTGGTTTTATACATCTACTTGTTAGTTATTATGCTTTATTTAAGAAAAAAGAAGAAAAAGTTTCTAGCAAATAAAAACTTACCAGTTTTGAAAAAATGTAAGTTTTAGAGGGTTATTTTTCAAAAATAATAATAATTGCTTGTTATAAGTGAGATGACATTTCGTTTACTTTTTGCCTCTGAATTGTTTCTATCATTTAACAAAACAAACAATTTAAAACAAAACTATTACACTTCTGTGAGCAGTTCTATCTATTTTCTTCCTTTCAGATATTTAATTTTGCCATTCAAATCTGGTTATGGAGAAGCAATGAAACATCATAAGAGAATGAGGAACAATCTGATGGAAATAGTGAAGAGGCACAAAAACACTTTCGACCCCAAACACCCCCGAAACTTTGTAGATGCTTATTTAAAGGAAAGAGTCGACAGGCAGGCTAAGGGCGATCCCACTGCTCAATATTTCACCGGTGATTTTATATTTATATTTTATTTTATACCAGGCGTTGATGAGTCGATCCAATTTTTGCGTGCACTGCTATCAATGCTCAACTCTGTAAGCCTTGTAATTTTAAATCCAATCTAGTTGGCAAGGAAATTCCTGGGACAAGCATCGGCACAAATAAGCTTTCGCAAAGGCGAAGGAAGACCACGAAAACCTCTCATTGTTAGCCAGATGATAAGAGGATTCTAAAAAATGATCCGAAATAAAATATGCTCAGGGTAACTGAGGATATTTTATTTCAGCACAGTGGTCGGTGTGAGCTGAAAAACAGAAATTGTATCAACCAGTCATAGCTGGGACTCAAACCTAATATTAAAACATTGAAATATATATATATATATATATACATATTATAGCCATATAAAATTGCATCGAATGTTATTCGATGCATCGATATAACATCGGTTGAGGCGAATTATTNGCACGAAACTCGGCACATAATTGTGTTTTGACATAATGAAGAAGTATTTTTTTTCTTTTTCAAAAATTTTGATTAGTTATTTAGTTATTAGTCATTTTGTAAGTCTATGCTTTTCGTCTGCTTTTTCGTCTTCAAAGAGCCATATTCAAAAAACTATTAAAACATGCATATACTTTTCCCCACTCTTATAAATGTATGCTAATGCGAACCTCACAATTGAAATATTAATTTTCGACAACTTAAACCAATAATATACGAAGGAATTAATAATTTAATTAGTATTATCGCATTAGTTTACATTTATTAAAGTGGAGAAAAGTTTAACNTATATATATATATATATATATATATATATATATATATATATCCAACGGAGGACTGATTGTTTTCAATATTAAAAATCTCTGAAACAAAGGTTGGTAGAGAAATGAAACCAACTGTATGTTTATTGTGAAACCTGTAAAAAAAATTTTCAGAACTGTTTACATTTTGCCACAAACATTACCGACAGACGGCGCTGCAAACTATTGCTAACCAGAGCGATTAGGTCTAGTGTTTAAACGTGAAAGGAGGTTGTAGAGGTTTAAGAGGTTCTGCTCTTGTGTTCTAGTGACCAACGTGTGTTTTTGTTGCTGGAATATAGTTTGATTACCGTTTTATGGTATTTGTATTTTTCAAGTATCCTGTGCAACGTGCAGCGCCATCTGATTTTAACTTTTGGAACTAAATTCCTAAACTAGCAGTCAGCCCTCTGTCAGGCATCCTGTATAATAATCAACACTATTTATGGACTACCATATCGCTCAATCATTTCGAGACATTTTGGTTTTTGCTCAATGTTTTGGTTACTGTGCAAACGTGTCTACAAATTGTCACCCCAATCTGCTAATATGTCAATAATTTTGATTAAGACATTTCATTCTCTAAAACACTTATTCATTTCAATAACGTTAAAAAAAAAAGGCGCGACTATTTGAAGGATCAAATTATATTTCTCTGCACTCTAAGAACTTTTCACTAAATTTCAGGTAAGTTGAATGAATTCTTTAAGATTTTGTATAGCAAGGCTATTTGAAAAATTCAGTTCTTTACAAACGTCGCGAGCATTTTGCAATGCGCCAGTCTAACTTTGGTGTTTTCTAAACTGCCTGATATTCCATAGGCTTATTACAATAAGTCTAGAGGATTTAAAGTTATTTATAAAGTGCGCGAAAAATTACTCAATCAAACTGAACTTGTTTAGGCTTATTTCAATTAACTTTTACTTGTACTTTTAATTAAACTTTTAATAGAATAAACCTGCTTCCAAAGAATATAAGACAGAAAAAGTCGACAAGCTTTGACGTTCAAATTACCGAGCTGATTATTAAAAAATCCAACATACGTGAATGATTAAAACGAAACACACATCACTTAACAAAGGCGAAGCAAGTAGCCTCACTTTTCAGGTTGCTGTTTTTTTTACCGCAACATAATTTTGACTCTGGTCAGATGACATGGGCAACGCTGGAGTTGGTTCCCCCTCTCTCTAAATTTCCACAGCACAACTATAACGCCATGGGAAGGAGTTTTCGCCCTGACGTGTTCCATACTCGCCAGCTGCCTTGATCACAATTCGGACCCCCAACAGAGTGAGAGGCGCCTTAACCAACGCCGGAGCACCGAAAAAAGAGAAAAGAGTTGAAGAAAAAAAATGCAAAGAGTTTCCAACAAAAGAAAGAGAAAAATGATGAAAAGACAAAATGCGGTAAACCACGGTAGCTGAGGGGTAAGATTGTGGCTTAATCTTGCCATTCAGAGCTGAATGCATCTTCAAGCGGATCCAACAGAATGGTGTAGCAAAATCGCAATATTTATGGTAAACATTTTGCCTTTTCTTTTCCTTCCCCCCCCCCTTTTTCAGGTTTTGAAAAATTTTCGAACTGAAAGAAGAAAGGAGGGACCCATACTGTAGTATAGTTTCAATTAGACAAATTGTCTGAATAAATAAACATTCATTCAGTTGTGTGTATTTCAAGATTAAAACTGAATCGAGCGTTCATTCTCCCTTTATAGATGGTTGTTCAATCTAAACACCAATAATTGATTAAACTTACGCCACTCCATTCATGAATTATTTTTGGCATACCTTTGGAAACTATTAGATTGTTTAAAATTGCACGCAGCTTTCACTGAAATAGAATAACTCTTATACGTTTCTAGCTGTGCAGTAAAGATAATTGTGTTTTCTGATCTTTTAAGAAAATTTACATGAATCTATCAAGTAATTTTAAAATAGTGAATTTCTTTCCGTTTCAAATTATCTTAATATTCTCTCGAATGGTGTATGTTTTATTAAAAAACTAAATTTTATTTGAAAAGGAATGATATACGCATCCTATATTTTAGTGCAACTGCATACCAAAAATGGCCACTTTACAAAATGAACACTCCTGGTGTTTCACTTCACTACTTTGGTGTAAAGTAACCATTTTTGGAGCTGAGATACACAAAAATGTTTTACAAATTTCCGTAAACTGTAAAAACGTGATTCAGTGAAACTTTGGTGTAAAATAGTGGTCGCCATTTTCGTTGATCAAAGGTAGATAAACTAAGAATTTTACATTGCAAGAATGTGGTGCAGACACCACTCGTACTTCTCTTGAGGTTAAGTAAACATTTTAGTGACACCAATTGCAATAAAATACGATGAGTCAGTAAAATTATTTTTACCGCCTAACATTATGTAAGAAGCATTTATAGAGGATGCATTATTTCTTAAAATAAAATGAGTTTGTAAATGTAAATAATAATCTGTATTCGAATTAAGCTTAACACATCAGAAGTGAGAGAAAACTAAATATTATTGATTTTTTTTAATGCAATTAGCCAATGTATGCAAATTTTCTTATGAGAATTCTTTTCTTTTTCATGCAAATAAAGGCATACTTGTTTTTTTTATAATATTTAACTTCTTTTGTTCAACTTGCGCGTGGATAAAACAAACTTTCATTCTGTGTCTCGATTTTATTTTATTTTATAACCTTCTTTGAACAGCCGACCCAATGTTTGGGTTTACGACCACTCCTGTTCAACTCCGTAGCCATGTCATTTTGAACCCAATCCAGAAGACAAAAAAACTCCTGGATCTGTGCCCAAAGAGGTATGATTTATTATGGGAACAGAGTGGACTCGGCAGATTTAGCGCACACCAGTTACCATTTACTACATGGGGAGTCTTCGCCCGCAAGGATCGAACCCACTACCTCTCGGACATGGGCCCAGTGCCCTACCCACCAGGCTCAAAAAATTTGCCTTTTCGCCTGATGTTTTTCAAACGTGCGCCAAAAATTGGGGAAAATATTCATGAATAAAGTAAACGGAGTTTAGGAATTAGATTTAACTACTAAAGTTTGTATGAGCGCTCTTTCGCATCTTGAAATAGCACACTATTTTTCAACACCCAATTCGAATAAGTATGACACCGTAGAGTATTGAAATTTCATTATTTTCCAGACGAGGCTTTGGCCGCCACTTTAGATCAGATTGTGGGTGATGGAGTCCTCGGTGTCTCCTCATTTGCGGCGACTTTCTTGAAATATGTGATAGACTTCGAGGATGAGCAGGAGAAGATGTACAAGGAATTGATGGAGGAGATTGGAGAGGGAAGAGATCCCACCCTAGAAGACAAGTTAAGACTACCTTACACCAGTGCCCTTATGCAGGAAATATTGCGCATATCCAATTTCTTCCCCATGTTCCCTAGCCAACAGTGTATCAGTAAGTAATCTTTCTTTTTCTTTCTTCCCCGCAGTGGACTGATCGTAAAGACACGGTTCCCAGTAGAACACCGAAGTCAAGCAACACTGGCTGCGGTCAGTAAGCTGCTGGATGACCACTTTGATCAAACTGCGTAGGGACCGAAGGGTATCGGTCCTCTATAAACTGTTTTACCGTAAAGTGCTCGACTTCTTGCTTCGGGCTACCAAAGCGGGGGAGTCATCCCCTCTGCAGAGGACAAAAATGGCGATGGCATGTCTTCGGATCATCCTCAGAGATATTTCCCAGACGTTGATTAAGTGCCTACCTCTTTCACGAAATTATTCCCTAAACTATTTTTAATCTTTAAACCTTAGAATTATATTGAGTTACTTTTAAATAGTTCGCATGTTCATTGCCAATTGATTTGATTTCTATGCCGGTTCGTTTGATAACAAGTGAATAAAAAACTAATGGACTCTGTTTCAATTTTATTTTATCGGTGCTTACGAGCACGCTAGAGCCATTAGATGAACAACCAATTTTCAACAGTTGTAGGGTTACAAAAAACGGTGGTGAGAATGCTAAGACAAAGGATGCCAAATTGGCGCGATATTTCTCACAAATTGAGGAGTAGAGAAGGTAATATTTTATAACCATCTGAATAGATATTTATAAAAGCCAGAAAATTTCAGGTCGTGGGTTGCAAAAACTGCATCCATTGATGTTTGCCGTCCAATGGGCTGCTGGAGGCGTTTTCATTTCCAGCCAATCTACGTTTATTAAGACGTCACAAATTTTTTTTCCCTCTTTGGTATTCATATTAAGATGAAAATATCCACCAAGACACAGTCATCTATCTATACATCTATACATCTATACATATATACATCTATACATAATAATAAATGCGGCTGTGTGTGTGTCTGTCTGTCTGTAATCACAATATATCGCCCCAGAAGCTTCGCCCAGGCACGAAACTCGGCACATAATTGTGTTTTGACATAATGAAGAAGTACTTTTTTTCTTTTTCAAAAATTTTGATTAGTTATTTAGTTATCAGTCATTTTGTAAGTCTATGCTTTTCGTCTGCTTTTTCGTCTTCAAAGAGCCATATTCAAAAAACTATTAAAAAATGCATATACTTTTCCCCACTCTTATAAATGTATGCTAATGCGAACCTTACAATTGAAATATTAATTTTCGACAACTTAAACCAATAATATACGAAGGAATTAATAATTTAATTGTAAAGTTCGCATTAGTTTACATTTATTAAAGTGGAGAAAAGTTTAACTTTTGTATTAAAAATGTGGCAACATATTCGATACGTAAATAGAACGCTTCGCTTTGATATATTTGTCGCTGTTCATAATTGTTATAATAAGTTTTTCTTCTTCTTTCCACGCTCTTTTTTTTTTTTCTTAAGCGAAGACGATAATTTTTATAGCGATATTGTAGTACTTTGTACAACTAAAAATTCTTTTCACAACACTTTAAAAATATTTACTTTATTTTCTTTATATATACAGAGAACAGTCGGCAAAGAATTCGATTAGGTTGAAAAACATTTCGCTAAAAAGGAACGAATTCCAAAAGAAAAAATAAACAACTTAAAGAATAAAAATGCTGATGCCAGCCAATTTTTTGAAAGTTAACTTAGAAATAACAAACCAAACGATGTTAAATAACAAACCAAACGATGTTAACAAAATGACGTAGAAAGCGCAACTAGATCAAAATTATACAAGCACAACTAGATCAAATTATAATACCTGAGTGCTTGACGTAACAGATATAGAAATAGAATTTGATACCATAAAAAATTATATAGAAATAGAAATTGATACCATAAAAAATTTATTCGTTTTCGTGTTCTTTTCATGTATTTAGCATTTTAGTTTTTTTTTTCTTAAGCGTTGTAGCTATATAATTTCAAACATCCTCAAGAGCTATAACACATCTGCAGCAGAACTGGATATGAAGACAAAATTGCTGGACAGGAACACTTTAATTGTCCACTAATCTTCAGATTTCCGGCTATGTTTTAAAAAACTTTATTTGTGAAAACCTTTAGCTTGGCGAACAGCTGGGCGCCTTTGGCGGCTAGTCATGAATAAATTTATCATAAAAAGAACTTAAAAATATTTTGAATGAATATTTAATGTGAAACTTTTTCAAAACAGTGCTTTTCGGGCTTTTGAATTCGGTTAGAACAGCAAATTTTGTTGATGTGTATTGAAAAAAATCAATTGCATTTAAAATTTTATTAATAAACTCTAATACAAGTGAATTTTTTAAACTTGTCTTAAGATTTATTATTTCTTTAAAAAGATTTTTTTTATTCATTTACATCTTATTTAACGGTGCCTACCAGTAAGCTATTTATTTCCCCCTTATTTAACGGTATTTGCTTAAAATAACTCATACTTCTTTTATTTAGCAGAATTTACGATAAAATAATTTTTTATTCCTTACTTGATGATTTTCAGCTGTAAATTATTTAATAACAATTGAAAAATTTTTTTGTTGAACATTGCAACATTTTTAATACAAATCATTTTAAAATATAAAATACTTTGTGTGCAATGAAAGTTATAAAATAAACACGATGTTTAAGATTTCAGAATAAGTATTAAATACTGAAGAAATTATCCTGCCTTGGTTTTGCGAAGAAAAAAAAAAGAAGATATTTTCTAAATAACTTCCAAATGTTTTTATAGAGTCATTCTAAAACTTGTTTTTTTTTTATGTCCAATGATGACAATGCCCAGTGAGCTCATCAATTAATCTATAACGATAATAAATTTCTATTTATAATTATTTTCATTTTAGAGGAATGTACAGTTCGTGGGTATAGGATTCCAAAAGGGGCCATCACTCTGATGAACACGTGGTGTTGTCACTCAAACCCTGATGTGTACGAAGAACCTGAAAAATTCAAACCTACCCGCTTCTTGCCAAAAGAAGGAAAGCCAAAACCTGAACCACCCCTCACTTTTGGTGTGGGTAAGTATTTTGCAGCATTGAATAAACTCTACAGTTAAAATGCAAAAATAAGTTTTGTGGTAAGAAGACCACAAAAATTTTATAACTCATTACGTATGATTTTGTTGGATGCCATTTTTCTATGCTAAACAATTTAGCTGGAACGATAGGTATCATAAGGAAAGTAGATACACTATTTGTTTGAGGAAAAACGAAAACCGTTTCAAAACAATGGTACGAAACAATATTATAGAAATTAACCTTATATTTAGCAAATTTCTCAAGAGTATTTTGTCAATGCTATCTAGAATATACCCATTCATTTATATCCATATTTTTTGTGATACTGAATCATGATTTTTTCAATTTGCCACAGAAAATAAATTATGGTTTATGGTATTAAAAGACACTATGGCTAAAAGTATCCGGGCATTCTTCGAGTCTTACTCACTCGGAGAATCCTGAATGTGATATCCTTTTACATTAAAGACTGGGGAGACTTTCTACTCAGTTTTTAGCAGGTGACCATTGAATCTGACTTTCCATTGTTAGTTAATGGAGTGCTGGCATTGAGAATGGTAGATATGGATGGTTGCAATTTAATCCATTCCAAAAGTGTTCCATGGGATTCCGATAGGGGCTCTGAGAAGACAGAATTTGAACACCCATTTCGTCAAACGATGGCTGCGTAGATCTCGATGAGTGAATGAAGTAATTTTCCTACTGGAAGAGGAATGGGCCTCCCCCGTTGAGGGTCCAGAATGTCCACCTAAATCTCAGGGCTTGTGTTTTAAACGCAGAAACTGTGCGACCCTGGACAAACCGGAAAAAAAAACAGCCCGGGTATAATGAGTTTCCGGATATTTTTGACCAGACAGACAGCGTATCTGCTGTAGTACCAGACTGTGCTGTTGCTAGATGAGCTGCGCATATTACTTGCTTTGTTTCCCCAGCAATTTCCCTGTTCGTTCTCCTAAATGATTGCATAAACAAATTGGTTACATTAATTTTGGTTTAAGTAGTAACTTCATTTTATTAATTTTAAATGATTTCTATAATTATTGAATGAAAATAAAAAATTTTAAAAAAATTTTCAGGCAAAAGAAGTTGTATTGGAGAATCTTTTACAATGACTCAAACGTTCTTGTTTCTGGTCTCATTGGTGAAACACTTTAAGCTGACCCTGCCTCCCGGTAGTTCAGATATGACAGCTTTCGAACTTTTGATGAAGGGAACCATGGAAATGTGTGCACACTTAAGAAATTAAACGTTTTTCAAATGAAAGAAATGACTGCTGATCAAGAAAAAAAATTTAAATAACTAATGCATTATTATTCCTTCCTTGAAGTGCTTATTTTTGTTCAATGTTTAATTCATAAGTATGAATAAAAAAGGAATTTATTTTTCTAGTTCGATTAAAAGACGTCCTATTTTCTAACGTGGCTCCAGATGACTTGGAGAATATTACTGTAATGGAAATTTTTAATTGTAAATGAAATAATAAATTTACTTACGTAGATTTAAATCACTGTTACTTATTTGGAAATAATTAATTTACTTTTTTTATTACTTTTCCTTGAGTTTGTACTTCATTTGTTCCAGGTCATTTATTGTATATACGCCAATGAATTTTTTCGTTACGCTCCTTCTCCCTTTTTGAATAGAATTTGAGAGAACTCCCTTTTAAGTGGGAGTAAAGAATACTCTCAGTTAAAAGAGGTTTTAAAAAAATTTGGAAATAGTTGACATTTTATAGGAAACTTTTGAATTGAAAAATTCTATAATTCGATGAAGATGTTCTGTTTTCATTAAGATTTCGGCTTCCGCCGCGAACCTATTTCCTTAAATAGAAATTTCGTAAAAAGAATTTTTCAGAAAGGAAAAATATTTCTACTTTTTTTTCTCATTTTATATTTATGTATGTTTTAATTGCAATCATAAACTCTTTTTAATATTGTAACTGTAATTGCATTTTCTTAAAAAAACTTATTAAATAAACCTTTAATTATTCAATTTTCACTTTTTCGTTAAAATCCTACGCCTTTTAGCTTTGAGGCAAAACTTCCATCACTGGGGGAGGGTGCTACAAATTGCTGTTTGGCCACAAACCTATTTCAAAAATGGACTTGGCTTGTTCTCTAATATCTATATATATATATTTCTCTTACACGGCGACAAAAAAAGCCTCATTACAACTCCCCGAATGGCAACGCTAGAAAATCGACCAATGATTGCCACTAAAAATGTCACATGCCAAATCTAGTTAAGGTGGCTCAACATTAAGCGCTTTTTTTATCGTGTCTATGGACAATTAAATGGCCTCGTGTGCCTTCAAAACAGCATCCGATACATCATTACTGTAAAAGATCTCACGAAGTTATGCAGCCAGCGGCACCATACCCAGTTGTAAAACATATGGGGTAAGGGCTGGGCACTCGAGAATGTGATCTGGGGTAAGTTGGATATTGGTGCAGTTCTTGCAGGGAATGTAAGTTCTTATTTCGTCGGGAAGAATTTTCATCGCTTTAAAGTGGCTTGTTCTTAGTCTAGTAATTGTTGATGTTAAGATTCGGGAACAATCAAAGTCAGTAATGAGGGGTTTCTTGAAGGAATGGGGCAGAAGTCTGTGTCTTGCAACTGCATTTGTGTCTGCAAGCGTGATGGTCGTGCAAGGTTGGTCGGCACCTCTGCCTTCCTTAGCTAAGGAGTCCGCACACTCGTTACCCTCAATATTCACGTGCGCCGGTATCCATTGTAGCAAGCAGGATTTCCGATTGCCGTGCAAGCCTTCAAGTATGACATTTATAGCAGAGGAGACGTTATTAAGCGCTTTTAAAAACGGAAACTGAAATAACCAAAGAGAGCATTCGCACCAAATGTGATCTCTTCCGAAATTCACCCTATCAGCTGTGGCAATCTCATACTACACTGGTGTGCAAAGCTTAAGCAACAAGTGCGTTTTTTGTCGTAACTCCACAAGAAATCATCCGATTGACATGAAATTTGAATATGATGTACATTACTTTGTACTCAAACGATGGTAAAAGAATAATGGCGCAGAAATAAATATAAAGCTTAAAGTAGGGTATGGAAAAAAAGGCTTTATTTGGCATATAGTGGCGTTACACATGATTGCCTGAAGAAGCGTAAGTACAACTGGCAGATGTTCCCTAGTATGGGATATGCACTCCCCTTACTGTAATTGCTGCTTGGCATCGTCTCTCCATGCTAAGCACCACATTATCCAAGAGTTCATGGGGTAAACGTCTCAATTCCTCCTTTAACGCATCTTTCAGCTGATGGGTGTTACCAGGAGGTTACTGTCGTGTCGCAAGACGTCTCCCTAATGCATCCCACACATGCTCTATGGGATTTAGATCTGGAGAGTAAGCTGGCCAATCCATTCGNTATATATATATATATATATATATATATATATATATATATATATATATATATATATATATATATATATATATATATATATATATATATATATATATATATATATATATATATATATATATATATATATATATATATATATATATATATATATATATATATATATATATATATATATATATATATATATATATATATATATATATATATATATATATATATATATATATATATATATATATATATATATATATATATATATATATATATATATATATATATATATATATATATATATATATATATATATATATATATATATATATATATATATATATATATATATATATATATATATATATATATATATATATATATATATATATATATATATATATATATATATATATATATATATATATATATATATATATATATATATATATATATATATATATATATATATATATATATATATATATATATATATATATATATATATATATATATATATATATATATATATATATATATATATATATATATATATATATATATATATATATATATATATATATATATATATATATATATATATATATATATATATATATATATATATATATATATATATATATATATATATATATATATATATATATATATATATATATATATATATATATATATATATATATATATATATATATATATATATATATATATATATATATATATATATATATATATATATATATATATATATATATATATATATATATATATATATATATATATATATATATATATATATATATATATATATATATATATATATATATATATATATATATATATATATATATATATATATATATATATATATATATATATATATATATATATATATATATATATATATATATATATATATATATATATATATATATATATATATATATATATATATATATATATATATATATATATATATATATATATATATATATATATATATATATATATATATATATATATATATATATATATATATATATATATATATATATATATATATATATATATATATATATATATATATATATATATATATATATATATATATATATATATATATATATATATATATATATATATATATATATATATATATATATATATATATATATATATATATATATATATATATATATATATATATATATATATAATGGAGGCTCAGTGTGCAGGAATGGGGTTCAAATCTCAGTGACAGCCTACTCAGCCTCAGATGAATGTGTGCAGGTGAATGTTTTACGTTATATCCGATTTGATATTAATTTATTCCTTGATATTATTATATTTATTCGATATTTTTATATCTACTGAGGATTGATTAAGAGAAACATCAGTGTTCGGTGTACCGGTTAAATGCATACTGTGCACTGAACCTTTAAAAAAAAACATTGCTGTAGGGCATACCGGTCAAATGTATACCAGACAGTGGCACTTCACTATATGTAGTATGAAAATATTTACCCCGACCTGCCCCAATTCAGGGCATACGGGTAAATGTTTATTAAAACCAAGTAAAAACAAAAAAGAGCATAAAAAGCAAAAAGTGCATAAAATACAAGAGTCATATGCCAACAGCTGGGAGGGCCGCCATATAGTGCTTAAAGCCGACGGCCCACCCTTATACTGAGCCAAATTACAATAGTATTGAAGACCCCAACAGAGTTACAGAGAATACAGTATGTGTTACAATACATAATTAGTAGTTACAAGATATAAACATCAAAATAAAACAAGGCAATTAAAAATATGAATACAATAAAAAATAAAAAAAAATAAATAAAACTTTCTTCTCTTTTCCTTTTCCGTCTATTTTTGTTGATAAAACGCTAAAAGCGAATATACAAGTGAGTAAAAACAACAACAAGATGAATTAAAATTAGTGTTGAGGAGATAGAACAGAAGACCAACGGAGTCCCCCAGGATGCTCAAGTTTGAAAAAATATAAAAGGGGAATGACGCGTTAAAATGGAAGTGGATTGGCAGTTCAGGTATTAAGGGGAGACATCAAGTCAACCTAAGTGTATAGGGTCCATCGGATCGTCCATTCTAATGGTATCTTCTAGTGTGCTTTTAATAATTTCTCTAATGATTTGTTGCTGCTGTTTTGTTCTGCACCACTTTTCGATTGGTTCCCTGATGTTAATATGATTCCCCCGGAGTGTCGAGATGTATATATGTAGTATATATTTCGGACATTTATCGAAGCGACTATGTGATTGTCAACATTCACCCATTTCTGTCATTCACAGTAACATATACATTAATTATATTTGCCCCCCCTTGCCTCATCGGTCACCGACTCATTAGGTTTGAGGAAAAAATGACTACCAAGTTGATAGAGTATACCGGCCCCTGGTTACGTTCTGAAAATTTAAATTTTCAATACTAAAAGAGAATACAATGGAATTAAAAAATATTGCAATAAATAATGAGTTCGAGAATTGACTATTAAACATATACTCTGCGGGACACTCAACTGTCCGCAGTACTTCAAAGCTGAAATTTGACGCGATCAAATGACCGTTTTCATTAAGGAGCTAATTTATCTTCGAATTACGGAGTATTTTTCGTATTCAAATTCGTTGCAATTTTACGTTTTTTTTTTTTTTTTTTTTTTTTTTGTATTAAATAGTGACTATCTACTGCTGTGCAACATTTCATGTATCGCTCTCTAAAAATATTTATTTTATATGTTGATCTCGAAAGTAACCAAAAAATGAAATAATGTTAGACAACACTTAGATGTTGTCAGATATTATTAATTAACATTTATAATAATTTTTTATGTAAAAAAAAATTAAGAAAAACATTTAAGAGAAGTAAAAGCCGTTTTTCACTTGAATGGATGAAATGAAAAAAGTTTATCATTCATGAGTAAAATTATTTCTCTTTTATTTCTTCTTTTTTGTGTCAAACATTCTATTCTCCTACGTTTAATTTTTTTTTAAAACTAAAATTGATGAATTTTAAAATCCAGATAGCCATTATTTCGTTACGATTGACTTATTAACAAAATATGCTTAAGTAAATTTATAATAATGATCGATTTTAGCAAAAGTGTTCTTTGAAAAATACCGACTCAAAAAAAAAGAAAAAAAGAAAAAAAAGACAAGTATTAGGAGATATGCTGTCATAGTAAAATGGTACAATTTCGTCAATGAAAGCAACAATTTTGTACAGTGTCACATAAAAAAGGAGAAAGGAGTTGAAAAATCACTTGTTCTTTGATGTGTCTATAATAGAATGGCGATTAGATAGAAGTAATTCTATGATCCTCTCGCAAGGTCAAAACGATTCGTCAAAACACGGAAGGTCTGTCGACGCTTATAATATTCGGTGGATGTATAGTGGAGGAGATTTTAATATAGTGTGCATAATAGTCAAGGTCATTCTGTAAAATCATTGTTTTGAATAGAACTCTAAAAATACAAAGTAATTTTTGAAAACAAGCAATGTTTTGTTATAACTTAAATATAATTTAAAATAAAATGGACATGCAATTCATTTTAAATTTATTTTAATATATGAAAAATAAATCCAATATTTTTAAATTATGGATACGGTCATTTCTCTCTTTTAACATAAAATGTTTCCTCCTTTTCATTAAACATACCTTTTTGTCTCTAAGTTAGTTGAAAATATATATTGGATTAACTAGCGTAACAAAAAATAACTTAGACACATATATTTTTCTATAGAAGAGAAAAAATCGTTAATCTCGCAATGGTAAAAATTTGATTTCTCATGAACTTTTCGATCGATTTCGTTCAAATTTTGTATTTTTCCATATGTTACTGAAGTTTCCATATGTTATATGAAGTTATGTTACTTAGAATGTCAACATTTGTATACCTTACATTGCAAAATTTTTCGGCAAGAACTTCTCGATTCGCTTGATAAGTTCTCGATGTATGGCAAAATATGCAAAGGGTAAATTTAGCATTTTGTGGTCAAATTTTTGGACTGCTCTTCTGACTAAACTGGTAGGTCCCTATTTCCCAAATTGTGATTACCCTCCCTATTTAGAGGATCAAGAATCCGAATCCATCGGAAAAAAGGTATGCTTATTTAGAGTTTTCTGTCTGATTTCGGAACTTTAAATATCATACACGGTAATTAATGAGCATATTTAAAGTTAAACCCTCAAACCATTGTGTATAAGTTCAATCACTAGAATAAAACTCTCTCACGGAAGTTTGCTCTCTCTCTCTTTTTCTTCCAGCTCATTTGACAAATTTGTTTAGTAAAAGCTACGGCTTTCATGCAGAGATAGATATAAACGAGTCATAAAAATATCTCCTATATGCAGATATTTTGTTTCTGGTACAAGAATTTCTTTAAGAATGCCTTATGAGGATTAACACTATCTTTGCTTCCAAGATGAACCAAATCCGCTAGATTGAATTCTGGTGAATCAATCATAAAGTAACCAAAATGTGTTTCGTACTATTATTGAATACTCTTAGTATTAGCGCAGAATCGTGTTGGATAAATCTATTTTCAGTAACCTAAAAACCTTTATGCAGTGGTCGGAAAAAATAAATTTTCTTTGTAGTTAACTACAATTACTTCATTGAAGTTATAGCGACTACAAACAACTATCGAAATATTGTTACTACTTCCCTACTTTTAGACATGCTTTAATGGAGAGAATAGTTCACACCAATGTTTAAAATGGTTTTGAATAAAAAATTGGCTCAGTTAAGTACGAGAAGTTATTAAGAAATGTTAATTCATTTTTACATAGTTTGTTGTTCTAAAGCACTTTTTATAAATTTGTTCTTTTCACCTTCAAACTCTATGCTCTTCTTGACAGTGAATTTTTAATCTAAGAAATGATAAGAAATGATTATCAAATATTTAGGATTTTAGTGATTAATGTTTCTTTTTATATCCTTCAAGATAACGTACAATGGGAAAAAAAAAAGAAGCACCCTGAATAACTTTATATCTAATAATTGGATCTTCACGTTCTAGAATTCAATTTTAATGGTCTGATTTCCAATGATTCCTTTGTTTACCAGATTTCCGATAGTAATGAACGAAATAACTTAGGAGCACGAGAAAAAAATAACTGCTGCCAACCAAAAGGGAAAAACTTGATACTCTGGAGCATCAGACGTAGATCTTATTAAAGCTTTGCCACAGAAACATCATTAAGGTAGCAGTGTATCTTCCAAAATAAGTTTGGGGTCTTAGTTGCTAACAGAGAATTTCGGGATCCATCTCTTGATAGCCGGAGAGTAATACAAGGTGTCCAAAATTATAGTCTAAAGGTTTTCAAAACGTTATAACAGGAAGACGATAACTGTTAAAAAAGACGCATCTTGCAGAAGATTTACGTGACTGGGTATGTATTTTATCTATGGAGTTTTCAGTTTTAGTTCAAAAATTTTACAACAGATGGAACTGTAGGCAGTAAAATCTGTAAGTCAAAGAAAAGTAATAGAAAATTACATCAAAACGTTCGAAATCTTTTGTGAAAGAAAAATCAAATTATCAATATTCTTGCCGCAATCATTTGTTGTAACTGGATGGTGAATTCGCGAAGCAACGGAAAGATCAGTCGAAGAGATTTTCAACACCATCTGTCTGAAACTTTTTGAGTTGTTTTTAATAACTGTTGTTGTTGTCATTGGCCATTAAGGCAAGGGGTGCGATTGTTTTTGTTTTCCAGTAGCGTCATCTATGGTCAAGGATTCGAGTTTTTCTAGTTTTTAATAACAGAAGAACTAAAATTTAAAAAAACTCGTTAAACGAAATTTTCACCCTATAACATGATATTTTTCCAAAACAAATTGTTTTATTTATTTAATTTTATCCATTTTCCTGGTATAAATTTACCTTCATGTCTAATTAAGAAGACGATAACCACCCTGGACTTAACTTACTTTTAACTTAACACCCAACTTAAATTTTGCATTTGAATATAACCTGTGAAATATAGTACAGGGCATTCCTCTGTGGTACTTTACAAGCGATGAAGTAAAAATCTAAACACTTATGAAGCTAAATGGATGTTTGTTTATTGCTGGCAAACGAAATTGTAGACATGCAATAAGATTCCAATTACCATCAGTCATCTTATTTCTTCTTTAGCTTTTCCCTGATAAGCTGAGATATTTTTCTTTCTTCCACCAGTCGTACGAACTTCCAGATATCGTCAGCCAGCAGCTGAGGTTCTTCCAACGCTAAGAAGTGCCCCCCTTTATCGTGCGAGCTGTGCACCACCAGATTCTTCACCAAATTTCGTGAAATGAAGAACTTGGGTGCGGGCAAATCATTCACGCAATTGGTTATTCCACACGGCACTTCAATGGGCATTCTGAAAATCAAAGAAATAAATGTAAAAAAACATAATAAAAAAAATCCCTAATATTGATATGCATAGGGATTAGAAATAGCAAATCAATTTCAACAATTTTGACCTATTAAGCTACATGTTTGACGTTGCATGCACTTTGGATCTGTTGCTGTGAGTATGACGTTTATAATTGCAGTATAAAATAAAAAATTACTATTGACTATCAAAACTCGAAATTTCAATAAAAAGCAATAAGAGTATCATTTGGTGGTATATTTCTTTTATATTAGTAATAGATTTGTTTGAATTGCGTGGAGGAAACCAATTTCATACAAAAGTCGTGACTGGTATTGATGAGCGTTGATCTACGTATAGAGTTGCGCCGAAGTTGCTTTTGTTAAATTTGCTGTGGACCTTACAGAGGCAGAGTCTTAGACATTCTGAAAGTGAATATGAGAATTTGATTTAAAACCTCTCTCACTTTTGAATATTTTGAAGGAGGGATGACATGGGAAAAAGAAGTAAAACCATTTCATTTATAACTGGTTTAAGAGAGGAGTAAAAAAAGCTCTCACGATTTCATAAGCACATAAGCTATCCATCTCTATTTGGAGAAAAAAAAATTTTTTTTCTATGTATTAAAAAACTTTTGGTTATAAATTTTTTGTACCATTTGATCTGTTTTTGACATGCAAGTACGTCATTGTTGGATTTCAATTCCTCTCCTGTGACGGGTTTTTAAAATTGAATTCATAACTTTACAATTTTTATAAAGTGATGAATAACTTTTGATAAAATGGTTCGATTTCACTTTTAAGAATCTATCTACATATCTCACAGAAAATTACTAGATAAATTGCCAATTACCATGTTCAAAGCACAATGACGTTACCTAAGTTCTTCGTTAGAAAATCGTACTTCTTCTGAATGTTTCTTTTTCGGAAGATTTCAAATGATTTATAAGCTATGCAGGCTTCAAAAGCCGGTTTAAAATGGGCATACTAACCATTATCCGATTTTACGTAAAACAACTATTTAATCTTATTTAGGGCAATGTGCAAATTTGTTTTTAATTGATCCAAATTGGAAAAAGACCAGGTCGTAGTACCTGAGGAATGAAAACTAAAAACAAACAATTAAAGAAAAATGCACGAAAGATAGAAGTTCAGGCTTAGAAACATGTTTGGTGGGAACAATGGAAAGATATGTTGGGTGTTTAATCGCTCTCGATGGGAAACTTTTTGAATCAAGTTGGCTTATTCAAGAGCGGAGGACAGACTCATTTCAGTATTAACAGTGAAACAAACGATATTGTGAAAGTTGTACATTTTTAATGCACAAACGTTTTGGAACTTATTAGTACGAAAAGATAGGGCTGTACTCTTTACAGTGATCTTGAAAGGAATACCAATACCGTAATCGAACCTGTGATATTCTAATACCAAAAACGCACGTTGTTGTTCAATCAAATGCATGATGAGCATCTCGTCTCTTTTAATTTTAATTTTGAACTAGTCATGCAATTAACGAATGTTTACAGTTTTTCCGGATATATAGATTTAAAATTTGATCTCAATAAAATTATTTTTTTTTCTTCTTTTTTTTTCTGTATTTACGTACTTTTTTGTCTGGACATAAGAAAGTGTGTTCTGTTGAAATTTGAAATTATGTTTGTAGATATAACATTTCAATAATGATTACAAAGATTCAAAACAATAAAATCACATTTTTTTCATTGTTTGGAAAACAACGCAACATTTTACTTTAATTGAAGGTTCGAATGACAGCTCGTTCATTTGCATTTCCAGTAGAAGCACAGTTCTTCTGACAAACTTCTCATGAATTAGAACAGGGGTGATCAATATTAAGAAACTAAGCTCGATATCAATTGGGCACTTTTTTTCTTATCGTTTTTCGATTGTGGTAAGGAATTGACTTAGAGATAACAGAGGATATCTAGATAACTCGATCCATACGTTTGTTAAAAAACAAATATAGTAGCAGATATAAAAAGATGAAATTATCTAAAATAGTAGATACATATGGTTATAATTACTACAATGCTTTAATAACTATTAGATATATTAACAATCAAAATCTCTGGTTTTAAATTCTAAAATGAAAGTTATTGTAAGACTTCTCCCTCCTTTTTTTTCAAATTTCTTTCAAAGTACTTCTTTCAAGCAAAATTAGAACCAGACTTTATTTTGTAAGGACGATACGAACCCTGAATAAAGATAGAATCTGTTTTGCCTGTAAGAGAAAAAGAAATACCTAGATCAGTTTTCGTAAATTTAATAAAGCACTAATATGGCACCTGGGAGGCACTGTCGATTACGGCATCGCTCACACAACTAGTGGAGAGCTGGAGATCGTAAGTTAGATCCTGACAGCCGTTAAAATAACCGACAGCAAAGCGCATGCTGAACATATCGTGGGTGAAATTCCGCTCTTTGTTGGTGGAGTGGAAGTCTGGAGAGGGGTGCAGGCTAGGTTTGGTCCACGTCGTCTGACCAGTCTTAAAATTGCGTGGCATACTATCGTAGTGAAGAGATATAGTCCTGAAAATGGGGCTAGGTGCTTGGTTATGGTTGAATGATGTGTGAATCCCCGATTATTGGGAATGATATCTGTGACATCAAGTCACAAGTTTAATTTAATTTTGGTATAATTTCGTTTATTCATGATACAAATCCTTATTTGCTGATCTAATTCTTCTCACCTCTTAATCTGTAGTGCAATGGGGACTTTCTCCCCCTGACTTTACGTTCACATTCCTTTAGCCCTGCCCCTTCTTTTTTTCTCAGAAAGACACCTGTTTGCCGGTATCTTTGATGTCAGCGTGTCTCACAAAATCTGAGATGTCTTCCTTAACCGTAACGCTGGTAAAATAATTGTGAAAACGTCTCAACTTTCTGAAAATAAGTAATTTAACTTTAACTTTAAGCAAGAGGATAAATATTGGAGCGCAAGGGACGCTCGTGGCATTCAAAAAATCGTTTTCATGTAGCTCTCCGCTAAACGGAGTTTCATTTTTTCTCCCTCCTCCCCCCTGAGGTCGGAGCATAGCGTTAACACCGCCATTGCTGATGGTCGTGGCTGCATTCGCATTTTAAGTGTAAAAAAAACTTGTATTTTTCTTCAAGAAAACCATCTACCATTCTCAGCATGTTTTGGTGAATGATCACCGCGCAATGATTTCCTCAAAATGACAGTGGTTGCAGCTTTCCTTTGTGCCAAATGATGAAATTCATCGGAGTTTGTGTTGGTGTGGTGTTATATCGGCTGTCATGGTTTTCGCTGGTAAATGTTTGCAGAAGATGAAGTTATCCTGCGTTGATTGCGCTTTTCTTAAACTTGCGGACTCGTTCTGGCCGAACGAAGACCTCTAAAATAAAGAACCTTCCAGCCTCTCCTATTCCAGTACCTTCTCCATACGCTTACTGTGTTGTCGTCCTGATGTTAAATCAAGTTATAATAAAATAAATATGAATTTTCCACTTCATCTGAAAAAAGAAAAATAGATGTTCCGGTAACTGCTGGGTATTAATAAATGAATACTAAAGGAAGAGATTNAAGGGACGCTCGTGGCATTCAAAAAATCGTTTTCATGTAGCTCTCCGCTAAACGGAGTTTCATTTTTTCTCCCTCCTCCCCCCTGAGGTCGGAGCATAGCGTTAACACCGCCATTGCTGATGGTCGTGGCTGCATTCGCATTTTAAGTGTAAAAAAAACTTGTATTTTTCTTCAAGAAAACCATCTACCATTCTCAGCATGTTTTGGTGAATGATCACCGCGCAATGATTTCCTCAAAATGACAGTGGTTGCAGCTTCCCTTTGTGCCAAATGATGAAATTCATCGGAGTTTGTGTTGGTGTGGCGTTATATCGGCTGTCATGGGTTTCGCTGGTAAATGTTTGCAGAAGATGAAGTTATTCTGCATTGATTGCGCTTTTCTTGAGCTTGCGGACTCGTTCTGGCAGAACGAAGACCTCTAAAATGAAGAACCTTCCAGCCTCTCCTATTCCAGTACCTTCTCCATACGCTTACTGTGTTGTCGCCCTGATGCTAAATCAAGTTATAATAAAATAAATATGAATTTTCCACTTCATCTGAAAAAAAAAATAGATGTTCCGGTAACTGCTGGGTATTAATAAATGAATACTAAAGGAAGAGATTACTTAAGACAATTATGCAAAAAAAAAACAGGAAGGCACATGAGAAATAGATTTAGTGGCAGTACATTTTAAAGCGTTGAATTAACCCCCCCCCCAAAAAAAAACTGAAGTAAATAAATCATACCTTGTCTTGGTCCAGATAGCTGTACTAAAAAGGAAAGCAATCCATATATTGTCCACAAAAGAGTAAAAATTTAAAGAACAAGTCCAGAGTTCAGATGAAGTGGAAAATTCATATTTATTTTATTATAACTTGATTTAGCATCAGGGCGACAACACAGTAAGCGTATGGAGAAGGTACTAAAATAGGAGAGACTGGAAGGTTCTTCATTTTAGAGATCTTCGTTCTGCCAGAACGAGTCCGCAAGCCCAAGAAAAGCGCAATCAATGCAGAATAACTTCATCTTCTGCAAACATTTACCAGCGAAAACCATGACAGCCGATATAACGCCACACCAACACAAACTCCGATGAATTTCATCATTTGGCACAAAGGGAAGCTGCAACCACTGTCATTTTGAGGAAATCATTGAGCGGTGATCATTCACCAAAACATGCTGAGAATGGTAGATGGTTTTCTTGAAGAAAAATACAAGTTTTTTTTACACTTAAAATGCGAATGCAGCCACGACCATCAGCAATGGCGGTGTTAACGCCATGTTCCGACCTCAGGGGGGAGGANACGAACATTAACGGGAAAATGGCCGTCCGCGCGGACGTCGAATTCGAGAAATTTGTTGTCCGCGGAGAATTTTTGACCGCCGAGGACGGGCGGACGGGCTGTTTTTCGAGCCCTGGCCACGACCATCAGCAATGGCAGTGTTAACGCCATGCTCCGACCTCAGGGGGGAGGGGGGAGAAAAAATGAAACTCCGTTTAGCGGAGAGCTACATGAAAACGATTTTTTGAATGCCACGAGCGTCCCTTGCGCTCCGATATTTATCCTCTTGCTTAAAGTTAAAGTTAAATTACTTATTTTCAGAAAGTTGAGATGTTTTCACAATTATTTTACCACCGTTACGGTTAAGGAACACATCTCAGATTTTGTGAGACACGCTGACATCAAAGATACCGGCAAACAGGTGTCTTTCTAAGAAAAAAAGAAGGGGCAGGGCTAAAGGAATGTGAATGTAAAGTCAGGGGGAGAAAGTCCCCATTGCACTACAGATTAAGGGGCGAGAAGAATTAGATCAGCAAATAAGGATTTGTATCATGAATTAACGAAATTATACCAAAATTAAATTAAACTTGTGACTTGATGTCACAATATCCAGTACGAAAGGTGAACAATTCGTGACGGCGCTGTTGCTGCCAATCAGTCTGATTCGACTGACAGCAACAGCAGCTTTAAAATTGAAAACCTTGGAAGGGACAAATGAATGCACCCCAAAATGTTCCACATTATAACTTTTTAGAAGCATTAAAAAAATAGTGGATCTCAAATTCAATAAAAAAATGTCCCCCTTAGAACTTACTTTTCGTAGTCACTCCTGTGATCGTCATTAAAAGTTTCTTTATAAAAGCGGTGAGTAGAGGAAATGTTCGCGTTCACCCAGTATATCATGACGTTCGTCAGCAGCTCGTCCAGGGTGAACTTCTTGGTCAGTCCACCGTCAGGAAGGTATTTGTGGGTCGAATCTGTCCAGAGGGCGAATTTCTCCAGAATGTAGGCAGCCAGTCCCACCGGACTATCATTCAGTGCGTATGCTAAGAGATTTGTAAGTCAATTTATATCTTGGTTTTAGCCGTTAACATATGCGTTGAAAAATGACTGTAAATCTTCGGTGAGCCTTTTTATTCTGGACACAGATCAAAACGCGTGTTTAAAAAAATGCTCATAGCTCGAATAGCCTGCTTAATAAAATGGACACAACTCGACATGCGTGTTTAAGAAAATGAACGCTGCTTGAAATGCGAGCTTAAAAAAACGGTTTCAGCTCAAAATGTGTGGTTAAGAAAATGGCAGTTTTTCAATGTTTATTCCGAACTGAACAACTAAACAAAAAAGCTTGTAATGACATTTCTCTGCTTTTTTTAAACATTGAGCTTAATCAATACGGGGCAAAATCCCCAACTTTAGAATCGGAGCAGCTGAGTATATTACAGATTAAACTTCACGTTAATCTCTTTGAATTCAGCACACTAAACGATAAAGTGGGTTATTAATTTGCACAATGTCAATTTATTAACACTACTATAAATTTATAGAACCCATAACAACCTTGTAAAAAAGTTTAAAAATTTAATCAAATGTTATGATCTTTTTTATTAAGTAGCCAGTCGATTTTCTTTACCACGTATTTCGTACTGGGTCCATTTTCTTAAACAAGCATTTTAATCTGTATGCAGAATAAAAATCTAGCCAGCGAAATGCTTACAAAAGAAACGTATGCATCAATTAACAGTAGAGTGCCCATTGCAGTCTTTATCGTATAGCTACAAGTGAAAAAGAGTCAAGTTCATGATTTCTACTCGAATCTTTTCCCCAAAACAATTGAATGAATCAATAAGAACAAGGCAAGTTCAGATTCACAAAATTGTAAGCAATAAACAAATTAAATTTTAAAAGATTAACACGGTTTTTCTCTACACCAATCACCATCCAGGAAAGGACAAGTTGCGCCTGGTTCATGTGCTCATTGAAGTAGCTATAGTGTCCACAATAAAAATGCTTTAAAAGAATACAAGATACAAATTGGATTTAAAGTGCGTCTTTCAGTCACAGCATCCTCTGTAGTTCTCTGCTGCTGTGGAATAATTTAGAAATACTTCTCTCGCCGATCCCTGTCAATACTTGTCCCCCCCAAACTCCTAGTTGAAGAACCACGTGATCATAGTCACCAGCCGTGCTCGAGAGGAATTCTTTAAACAAACAAACATTACCTTGTTCTTAAAGAGCGTATCGTGCTTTTCAATTTTATTTTTAAATCTAGTGTTAGAGACGATTGAAGGCTTCAGAGATGCAGTACACTTAGCTTAATTTGAAACCTTAAATCTGAAATAACACTCGAAAAGAATAATATGTTCTACTTTTTTGGAGGGGGCTGTTGCTGTATCTTTTTAGATGCTTCAAAATGCGTGGTATGATTAGTTGATACTCTTAAAAGTTAGACTCCTTTCGAATTTAGGAAGATTTATTGTCAGACAGTTGTGTATCTGAGTTAATAAAAAGAACAAATTTAATAATTCAAAAATATTAAATTAGTAACTCACGTCTAATCAATATTAGTAATCTCACTGAAACCTTCTGAATAAAATAAACTCCAGGTTGATTTTTTCCCTTACATTACGTAAAATTACATTTGAAAATTCAATTGGTATCAATAGGGATTAAAAAACACTAAAGTGGAACCAGTAAAGTTGAATGATAACCTTTGAATTTTACACATTTTTTAATTTTTTTTAATCCACATACCTAATAACAATTTTAATTTCCTTATGTGTCTATGAAAAAATATATTTTTTTATTAAACTTGTAGTTAAAGGCATCATATCGATACAAATCGGTTCAATAATAAATAACTTGGAATCAGGTTGTTATTATTCATTATCTGTTTTCATCTTTGTTGCAAAAGTACATTTTTCATCTAAGAATGTCATATAGCTTTAGACTTCATCTCTACTCAGAATTGTTGAAACCGAATCCGATTTCCAAAAATTGTTTGAAATACTTAAAAAAAACTAATAACTGAACATTCCATTATAATTCATATTTTGAATGAACGAACGATAATCATGATGGAATAAAAAATGTGTCTTCTGAAACTTTTGTGCCAAGTTCACAGCATCTTTACGATATTTTGATGTTTTCATATTTAAGATGGCAGGGGACAAAATATATTAATCGATTGCAGTGATATTTTAAAGGAGTCCTTCCGAATATCAAAGACAATCATTTTTTTCATATTTAGGTAAAAATAATCCGAAAGCAATTTAAAGGATCACAATTTCAAGTCCATTCATTTAGACTGATATATTTTTTGCAATCATATTTTAGTGAAAGATTTAATTAAACATTTTCTGTTAAGGATACGTTATAACTCCTTTGAGACGACTCTCATCACATTGATAGAATGCTTTTTTCCAAATATTCTCATAACTGCTGTGAGATTTCATCAGTTGTGCTAGGTCAACTTTAATCTATTTTAATCAGACGGCCTTTATATATATTCAGAATGTGGCCATTAATGAATATGGGAGATTCCGTGGTTCGACGCATCATCTCGAACGTATATCGTAAGTTTTGATGTTTGCTTCTACGCATGCTCGCGCTTCATTTCTATCCAACATATCTTTACGTTCTGTGGGCTCAATAAGCACGCAATTGCTTTATAGGTATTGAAAAATTTATATAAAAGAGACGCGAATGAACTTTTTGCACCGGTAAGAAAATTGCAAAGAAAAAGGGAAAATTTTGAGAAAGTATTTTAAGCTTTAATTTACGTGTCTTAATTGTGTTAATTTAAGACACTTCTTTAAACACAGCTAAAAGAATGAATACATACATTGTTTTTAATTTATATATATATATATATATATATGGTTATGTAATTGTTAAAATTATAGGTTTGCCACGAGTTTAAGGTACTTAAACTCATTTTCATTGGCTNTACTTTGCATGTCTTTTTTCTCTTCATTTTCATGCATTGTCATCCAATTCTGAACTGTGTGCTAAATTTGAAGTTTGTAGCTAGTCGGGAAGTTAGTTTAAAATCGATTACAAAATTCCACCCGGACAGACATACACGAAGGCAAGTTTATATAAACGTGGTAATAAAATAGAACGGTGTTGCATAATTCTCCTAAGTTATTTAACGAACTTGATCTTAAGACGAATCTTTCACAAAACCTCAAGATATAAAAGGGATGCATTTACAATGTTCTCATCCGTATGATAAAATCGTAATAAATTACCGCTCTTTCGATAATTTCTTTTCAATCATTAGGTTTGCGTTTTGCCATCTAACGGAATTTTGAAAAATGTCTTTCTTTTGCTCATGACCATTTACAGAAACAATTTCATTCAAAAGAGTGCATGCGCGCTTCTCTGACATTCCCATAAGCACACTGCAGGTGTGCACATGCGGTTACTTCAAATTGCAATGATACGGAATGATAAGTAAAATGGCGAAATCTAGGGAATGAAAAGAGTTTGTGATTTAATTCTTTTTTACATTTGAAAAGTTACTTCAACGCTCTATTATTGAACATTTAAAAAGTAACTCCAACGCTCTATTATCTGAGCTCATAAAAATTTGCCAAAAATGAAAACTAATCATTGAATTCGATCATTTTAGTCTACATGAAAAAATCTCACCAAATCGGTAAGTTTTGAAAAAGTTTAATAACTTTTAAATTTTTGAGTTTCTTATCTAAGGCCCTGATAATTTTTTACCACAAGATGGTTATGTAATTGTTAAAATTATAGGTTTGCCACGAGTTTAAGGTACTTAAACTCATTTTCATTGGCTAAAAACTTTTTTAAAAAACTCGTTAATCTACTCACCCAATGTGTCTGGTCTGGTGCTTTGAATGTGAAAATAGCCTGTTGCTTCTATCATGTTTCTAATCATCTCTCTGAAGGGGTAGATGCACTTGTACTGTTGGGGGGAGACGAAAGAGGGACAGACACTCGCCAGGATGTATTTCGCTGCCAATGAGAAACTGAAAGCATTGAAGGTGAAGTAGTTCACGTGAACTCCTAATATCCTGTAATGGCAGAAACAGAAAAAGGCAAGTTGAAAAATCTGCTCTTAGCAAATCTCACCGGCATTTTACAATGCATCTGGCTGCTTGGAAAAGACTTCGGTGTTTTATAATCTGTCTGATAGTTCTTTTAGGCTTATAATGAACCTTTAGTTTTATTTTAAGAGACTTAACAGTATTCCAAATTTTCAAATCCCAATTTCAATATTGTTCTTAATACCAATTCTCAAATCATTGTGTTCTTACCTCATTCAGTTCTCAAATTCCATTTTTCATACCTCAATTTATTCATTAATTTATTTTCAATTATATTAATTAATAAAGTGAACAAAAGGAATATAGGGTATGCTTTGCTATGCGTAGACTTGTAAAAAAGTGCGTAAAAGACAATTAAAGGTACAGAAATAGAATCGAAATTATTCCTGTGCTTTTATTTGTACGTCACTATCATTGTCTTTTGTTTTAATAGAATAAGCATCTGAAATACATTATTGCATTTATGTGAAGTGGTTTCATACATTTATTTTCTTAATATAGAATGAAAGGGAACTGATAAAAGTATGCATGAAAACCTTTCTTGTCTCCAATGAAATGCTGTGATTTCTTATGACCATGAAAGGGTCAAAACAGTGCGCCGGTATTACTTTTTCATGTATGCCGTAAAATATGGATCCCGATTTCATGAGTAATAATACACCACAATTTGAAAACTTACTTGTCCGGATAAACTTTGGACATGTTCATGGCAATTATTGCACCCCAGTCTCCTCCTTGAACGTAGAATTTAGAATGTCCCAGTCGTTCCATCAGGGTCTTAAAAACTCTGCCCGCGGCTCTTGTGCCAAAACCTACAAAAGTTTAAATTGCAGCTGAAATGATTGTGATTGCAAGGAGTCAAAATTCTTCCAAATAAGTGATAATCCCATTCCTTTTCACACTGAGGAAAAATACAAAAAAAATATTCTGTTTGGAAAGCTTTGGGGAGATATTGTTGAAAGGAATAATCAAAAATGTGGATTTGTGGTGTTCTGGATATGGTCTAGAAAGAGATCAGTTGCTGCATTTTATGCCTCTTCTGACCATGCCCATCCATTAAAAAATCTGCATCGTATAGACGTTGTACCAAACAAATTTTGCAAATAACGAAATGGGTGCCTTTCACTTGAGTCATTCAATGCTGGATCTCTTTTGGGAGAAATAGTCAGAAACTAGGCACAGATTAGATTCTATGGACTATACTGACTTAATTGCTATTGCTTTTTCTATTTTATCCTCTTTTTGCCTATAACCTCTGAAATCTTCCTCTAGAAATACGAAATAAACACCGATTGTGATCTACAACCAGCAAAATATGTCGTGCAAAGTTATAATAGTTATAGGTGCTTAGTTTTCCGTAAAAATTTGTTTTTCGTTGTTTTAAATAAATTCTATGTTCTATTTATTACAAATTGAAGATGTTTTTCCTAAAATAATCGTATTTTGTTAAAAATGAAAAGTAACGAATTTTGTTTCAAGCTAATTTTTTCTTATTCACGAATATTACGTAAAATTTGTTTTAGCTCAGAATAGCTACAATAGATTTATTAAAAATACACTCCCAGAAAAACGGGTTCCACTTTCAATAATGTCAGTCATTTTAACCGTTATAGTGGGTGAAATTGGCACACAATTAACGTTATTTTTGCCAGCGTTCACGCATCGTTGAATCAAGTTTGAAAGAAGAATTTGAAAAATAATATGAAATTTGATATTATAACTCCATACATGTCTTTAGAATACAAAAAACTATGCATATTTTGGAAAATAGATTACAATTTAAATTACTAATAAAAAAAATATTTGTCCAATCACCACTGACACTGGAAAATAAAAAGAAAGGATTAAGGTAATAGTATTTATTTGTATATTCCTCAGTTTCCGTTTCGCACTCCAATTTTGCTGTTCATTGCTGGAAAGTAATGTGTAAAATTCTGAAAAAAACTTTTGTGATTTTTCAATTAAATAGCGATGATTGTATCCTATAATACAAATTTCATAAGAAATCCGGAAATATGAAGACTTTTTACAAGAAAGTGATACCTTTTTGGTGTGGAGATTCAGAAAATCCGTATCCGGGAATGGAAGGGCATATCACTTCGAAAACGAAGTCCTGGTCATCCCTTTCAGTTGTCAACAGCGGTATCAGTTTGTAGAATTCGACGAAAGAACCCGGCCACCCATGTAGGACGAGGAGAGGAAACACTCTCGGCTGTAAAAGAATTGTAAAAGTCACCAGTATTTTCTTCTAACCAGTCAGATATTTTCAGTTTTCATTACATTCAGCTTATATGTGCCTTTACACTCATTAAGAAATGTGCAAGTAACAACTAAAACAGACTGATTTTGCTGAGGCTTATTGCAATAAACCTATAACAAGGCACTCTTACTATAAACATGCATTACTCATAATTGCAAACTACTTCAATTAAATTAGGCTTATGTACAATGGATGATGCATTTTTAAAGGGACATCTGACCTTCAAAATGAGAAAAATTTAGTTTTAAAGATATTTAAAAAAATTAATGAATAATAGGCAACAAACCATGTTTAACTCCGAGTTTTTCTTACAGAGTTTATAAGATAATGAATTTGAAAAAGGTCTGTGCATCAATATGCAGTTCCTGTTGGCGAAGTTGCTTTTTTCTCGTAGGGGAATTTTTCAATGTTCAATAAGGAAGGTTTTAATAAAGGAACAAACATAATTGAAACGTGCTTTTTGAAGAAATTTCTGGAGACAAAATTAAAATTTTGTACCTAGTTACGTTTTATTTTTATACGGTGACCATTACCACTTAAATGTATTTAAATGCTTATACACAACGTATTTGGGTAAATATTTAATCAAAAAATTGAAATTCGTTCGCAAGGAACTTTTTAATTACCAATAATTAAAAACGAGACTTTTAGCTGTAGCTTTAAAACTAATTATTATTTTTTCTAAAATTTTGTACACAGACTACTACTAATGCTACCAATATTCTGTTGAAATTTTTAAAAAATCGAATAAAAATTGCACTTTTTTTTGTTCTGAACTTCCAGTGTTTCCTTGATTAGTAAAAATGTCAGCTGAGCTTTTGCCATAATCCTAAAAGTGTCTGGCTGATTCGAAAAAAACAGGAAATTTTTTCAACTAGCATAGTTCATAGAAAAATGACGATGAATGTTTGCAAAAGGCCGTATTATTCAATTAGGCTACGGCGATCTACGGCGGCTCAGTAAATAGAGTGCCCACTTCCCTACTGTTATAATGTTTAGTTTAGTGTTATAATTTTAGAGATTGCTAATTTTAGTTTTTTGTGGTTTTAATTTATATTATTTCATGGTTCATTTTTAACAACTTTTACTGTTATTTGGAATTTTTCCATTAACACTAATCCTTTAATAAAATGATGATATACATTAGATCGTATAGTACTTAGAATAATTACTTAATAAAAGTATAATTTGCGTGGTGTGTAAATAAAAATCAAGAGTTATGAATATAACTCAATATCGAAATAATTACGTTGTAACTTAAACGTTAAAATAATTAATAATGTCATATCTTACGTTTAATATCAATTACTAGTGTCCGATGTGCTCATGCAGACCAGTCACGTGCCCCGAGATCAAATAGCAATATTAATCGGTTTAACTATGCTGCAATTTGGATTAGAATTAATCATATATTATGTTATTTGACACAATTTAATGAAATAATTAGTTATTTAGAAGAATTATAAACAATCCTTGAGATTTATGGCACCGGACTGCACGTGCACTATCTTTAACCCTATCTAAAGAAATGGCATGAGACATAGTCAAAATTGAAGAATAATTAACATTTTAAATAAAAATGCATTAAAACAAAAATCTTGATTGCATGCATTGATACTTACACAAACATATTCTGCATTAAAACAATAATTAGAATACATTAGGTACTCAAAATTTCGATGCGGCACCTTCTAAAATAATTTTCAAATATTTTAACAAATTAATTTCTTTTACTCGAGTACGCCCTCTAGCGGGAGCCTGAAAATATCAGGCATTAATTTATCATATTGGGATATCTTTCAGACCCAGAACACGCCGAACATTTGAAGAAAAATTTCTCAATAATTTTTAACTTCTATTATCAACAAACTTGCAACTGATAACTTCCGATTTCGCTATCGCTTACTGTTACAGATGTATGTATTAAGGTAAAATGCATTTCTTTGTCTTCAATTCATTACAAATTAAAGTGAAGTCAACATTGCTTTCGTCATTACAATGAATAAATGTGGATTCAGAACGCACAGAACTGTAATAGTTATAGAATATTCTTCTTCGTTATAGAATAGTATATATATTTCTGCATCCATATAATTCGGAAAACAATAAAAAATTATCCAAATTACTTGAAATAGTGCCATTTGTGCTGATTCTTAATTAATTTTTATCGTTTTCTTGGTAAGTATTTTTTAGTTTTGAAAGAATAATTTCAACTAGAATTCAGCTATTCTGTTTTTAGCTACATATTCAAATTCATACCAAGATCTTATAATTATAAAATTTTGCTGTGTAGTATGTTATCTAAAAGTAATGAAGGGATAAACTATGTATCTATTATTTGAGAATAAAGTTTTCAAACAAAGAACATATCATTTTGGAATTCTCCAGATTTATTTTAACAAATTAATTTCTTTTATTGAAACCATTTCGCAATTTAACAACTGACCAAATTGGCTGTGTTAAAAAAAATTATCACGCACGTGGTTTTAGATGAACGGAGTAATTATTATTTTAAGAACCTACTTTAAGTTAAGTTTTACTATTACAATAATTTCATACATTTTTTACTTTAAGGCGCATTGCTAAGCAATAAAAAAAGTATTTAGATTCTGAATTCGGTTAAACAAAATGGTACTTATCTGGTCCCTGGATTCAGGACGCCATTTAGGCCAAAGCGTCCTATAGTAAACGCTACCTATAAGAGAAAATTTTTAACAAAAGAGGTTACGCGCTCTTCGTCGAAAAATTCGAAAAAGAGGAGGGAGAAAAAGCGCCATCTGGCATTCGCTGATAGGTTCTCATACCGTTACGTCACTCCTGTTCAGCCATTTACCGCCTGCTAGGGAATAATCATTTGCGAAAGGATTTTAGACTCAAAAAGGGAAAATTCGCGACCCAGCCACCAATCAATGCTACAAAACAGATTAAAAATAATAAAAGAAAATACCTTTTTACAATTCAAATATAGGTCTGTGAAGTCTCGATTTTTTTTAAATAAAAATTTAATGTACTGAAAATTAATATATAACACTAAGAGGCGACCCAAGTTCAAATATCAGCTATCGTTGATCGATACGAATTCTGCTCCAGCCTCGCATGGCGTAAGATCATGTTAGACGTATCATCGGATAGTATCCTTTGCCGCCGGGCAGCCTTTGTGAGGTTTTCGCTGTTTTTTTCTCCCTGTAACGCAAAGGCGAGTTAGTTCTACCAAAAATTTCCCCACAAAGGCAAATTTCTCCGATTCCAGGAGATCTTGTTTTCTTAGTTGGGTAAAAAATTTCAACCCTAAAACAGATCTACTGTTCAACGCTGGTTATGAAATAAAAGTATCGTACGGCTTTTATTTTTTTGAAATACCTTTGGGATTATTAAATTATTATACACGAAGAATTATTTTCATTAAAAAAAACTTACTTTTCTCTCTCCCGCCTGGATAGGTTTGACATGAATAAAGTGTACTCTCAATCCTTCGATTTTTGTTTTAAACTGAGGGTATCTGTTGATGAGTTGTTCTTCCTGGCGACGCCAATCGTACTCCGTTTTCCAATAATTGACCACTTCTCGAAGATAGTCCGAGTGGAAGCCATACTCGAAGTTTGTGTCCACCAGAGACTGAGGGATCCTTGCTATTTCCAAACGATGCCTTAAATCTGTCAGTACCTCTTCAGGAACACGGACGGTGAATGGCTCGCATTCTTCATTTCCCCCTTTCACAAATAATACAGTTTATTAAATAAATATCTTCGATATGTTAATTGAAATAAAAAGGGTGAATCTTAAACTGTGTTAATCACTTTCTTCTGTAAAACAGGCAGCCAAATGTTTCAAGACTGAATGTTCACGTAAGGGAACCTATTTATTGCAGCTTCAAAAAAGTTTTATTTAGAATTTATCTTGTGAAAATATTTTTTTCCTGTGAAAAATTATGAGTTAAAGAAAAATTTAAAATTTCATAGTGCGCTTTTCTCTTGGAATCAAACTGGGAAAGAGAGGTGCCAAAGTTATGAACTTATGAATAACCCAGAATAATTCAAGCATATTTTTAAATAAAATCTTCGAGACATGAATAATACTGTAGTGGAATAAGTGACAAACTAGGTTCTAGGACTGAAATTCCTGTGCACCTGTGAGCTTCTATAGCAAACCTGGAAAAGGTAACTTAAAATGAACTGAACTGAATTCAAATCAATGAAATATGTATAGATACTATTGCAAAAGATTTTTCTTTCGCTTTTTAACTTTTTCTATCTTTTTTGATTTTTTATCATATGGGATCCTGTATAATGTTAACTACGACTATGTTCTTTAAATCTTATTAAAGTGAAGTTTTAAATTTTGCACTTCTCCTTTTTTATCTTGAACGATTAATACATTTCAAATGCTGATAAAATACACGCAACCTATCTCGCTTAACCAGTTTTGTTTTGTGTAGCAGTAATTAACAGAAAATTTTTCACATAAATACGTGCTGAGTGTCCAGTAATAAAGTTCTGTATTGCATATAATATTTTTTTTTTTTGCATTTGCTTATTTTTCAATTTCAATTTAATTATAATTCACCAATCTTTTTTACAAATTTATTTGACGCAATATAATTAACTTCATTGTGACTTCGGATAAGCCCCATAAGCTTTTCTACCACTAAAGAAATCTCCATAAATCTCGATTTTACAAGTTTTGTGAATCCTTCTGTTTTGTCGTGTTTGTCTTTAAGTTTTTTTCTTAAGAACTAATTCCTTAATTTTGAGTTAAAATTTTCGTGTGCTTTTTCAGGGCATAAACATATTATAAAATAGATATTTCATCACCAATCTTCCAATTTAATTATTCACTGTTGATTATTGTAGCCCCTGGATGGCGCTGTTTAATTATGTAAATTATAACTCTTAATAAGTTTCACTTCACTACTCATCTATCCCCTATCTTGTTAAAAGCATTTATATTTGCTAATTATGTTTATCTAATAATAAACTCGTATTTTAAAAGGCAATCTGAACTTTTTACTGGATTAATAATGCCGCAAATCATTGAGTAAGTCACATTCCTGCACTATTGAAGAATAAAAAGTGAAGACAACACAAGTGAACAAAGGTTAAGCAATACTTATCTCTGCTACCTTTTACTCGCATAAGTGCGTGACTACCAACAAAACAAAGATATTACAAGGCTACAAAATTTACTTAAATAAATAATTAACTCATTTGCCTGCTTATGCCGCTATATCTTCTTAGTAAGAAGATTATTTGAATAACAAATCTGTGCAAAAGTCATGATTAAAATGTGGTAAGCAAAAAAGCAGTATTTTCATCATAGCGATCGACAGACAACCCTTCAGAGGACGATTAAAAAATTGTCTGCAAATTATAACCCTATAATTACCTTTTTTTGTTGAAATTGCACCCCATGTGCTTATTATTTTTATTTTTAACAAACATAGAATTATTATGAATGTTTCATAATATTCCAAAAATTACTTCATTTCACGCTTGTTTCTTCTTCATTTTAGAAATGAACTTTGTAATGTTTACCATATTTTGCGAAATGCTTTAAAACACATTACTAATCTCAACAGCTTTTTTCAATCATTTGAAATATTCAATTTTTAAAAAAGTGACCACATGTTAAAAATTCTAAAACAGGCCACTGGACAGTAGCAAAATATCCTAATTGTATCCAGTAATTGTGATATAAATTCAAAACGAAAGAACAGCATCCCTCGGAAGGACTTTCAGAGGAACAACCTTGCTAAAAAGCAGAGTAACAGAATTGAGCTACTTCGTTACGCTATGAGGACAAAATTCAATGGATAAATCAAATGCCTCGTTAGTCACTATCATCATCTTCAATTATATCGTAATTTTATTAATTAATTTATTTTTTCTTTAATTTTTTTTTATACTTATGACAAGAGTTTTTCAGATTCAATGGATTTCAGGTCCAGTCTTGTTTTTGATGAAGATCTGTTTAGGGTGATGGAATTATGTACTAACCCCGTTAATATTGACAGACCGTTTTCTTGACTGTGATCAAAGTCACAATAATGAGGTTTCAGATAACTTTTAGCCAGATGTTCTGACTACGTTATAGATTTCTCCTTTGATGCGGACTTCCTCTAGAATGTTTAGATTATTAATTTTTAACTCTTAAAGGGGTAGAATTTTTTAAGGGCATTCAAAAGGTGTTTCTGGGGTGATAAAGAGAATGGTACGTTTTAAACCTACTGCACAATTTGTTTTACCTAAAAGTTTCATAAATATTATTAACTACTTTGTCTATGGATAAATCAATTCCTTTCTACAACGCTAAACGGTTCATTAAAAAATCTATAAGAGAGAACTTTTGGTATAACATAAGAGAGCAAATAAAGACAAGAAATGGATACAAATGTTCCGTTATAGCCAAGGAACAACTCTGCTGTTACTTTTCGCCTCGCTACTGACCACGATTTCCTCTCCAAGCATCGTATAAAAAAATTCTTTCAAGTCCATCTTGCCAGCGTGAACAAAAGGACGTTTGGGTCTGCAATGGACACTTGTGGGTGGAGAGTTCGGATTAAGATGAACGATTTACAGATTTACTGTAGTTTCAGTTTTATTATCCCTGTTTCTTGTTCTGTTGTTTGTTTTTTCTGTCTACTGTAGTCTTTTAGTCTGCTGTTAGAAATAAAAATTTGAAAAAACTTTTCGTTCTATTTATTTTTTAAAATTTCATAAAAAATTTTCATTCTTTTCGGAAACTGAATCTTGTGTGTGGTCTTTAAATTTAACCATTTCGTGTACAATATCGGCCGATTAAGCAACATTACACTAATAATTATATTTAACAATTAAAAACGATGAAAAGTACCTTTCTCCTCTTCGCCGAACCATCCCGCCTCTCCTGTCTGGAGGGAGTGGAGATTACTTTGGCGCCATTTCTTCAATATGAAATGAATCGATACTGAGACTAACACAGCTACGAATAGTAAAAACATTCTTCTGAAACACACAATTTACTTTATTTATTATATTAATGTCATTTTTGATGAAAAGAAACAACCCGATTCAATTATCAGCAAGTGGTTACATATTTGTAACTTTGAAAAAGTTACAAATGTACCCAGAGTCGGGCAGTCTCGTAAATCACTCCTTAGGTAGATTTTATTCATTTAGTTACATAAATAATTTTTCTTTATTTATTTATATACTGCAGTTGACAAAATCTTAATACAAATAAATGGAATTCTAAAATAAGTACATTTTTCGAGATTAATATCATTCTTTTCAGCGTAAAAATGTCATCGGAAGCGATGCCTCACTAGCTTGTCTCTTTAAGAAAAAAATCAANAGCGTTACGGTTAAGAAACACATCTCCGATCTTGTAAGGCACGCTGACATCAAAGATACCGACAACCATCTGTAAAATTCTACGAAAAAGGGTTGGGCTAAAGGAATGTGAACGTAGAGTCAGGGGGAGAAAGTCCCCATTGCACTACAGATTAAGGGGCGAGAAGAATTATATCAGGAAATAAGGATTTGTAACAGGAATTAACGAAATTATACCAAAATTAAATTAAACTTGTGACTTGATGTCACAGTCACCTAAATCTGAGATCCTCTTTATCCGAAATTCATTGCATGTGCACCAAGTTTCATTAAAGGCATGGACCTTCTAGGATTGGATTGTTTCCCCTATCTTCAGTACTAACTCCCTTCAAAGTGTGATTCGATATATTTCATCACAGTTTTTTTCAGTGAAGTGTTCACAGAAAATCTTTACATTTTGACTACCGACGCACAATGGAAACATATATTGGCTTAGTCTTCGTTCATCTTCGGCGTAATTTAGCATAAAAACTCAAATGAATTATCAAATGACTTTTAAAGGGGTATTTTCCTTCCTTTTCAAAATTAAATTTTTTGCTACGCTCAAACCACAACAAACAAAATTGCAATCCTTACAAATTATTCAATACCTATAATACTAATTTCAAACCTATAATACTAATTTCAAAACCTATAATACTAATTAAAAAGTACGACGCAAAGAGCAAAAAAAATAAATAAATAAATAAATAAATAACGCAAAATAATTTTATAATAATAAAAAATTTTAATTTTTTTGAACTCAAAACTATTTAAACTACTTTATTTAACTCAAAATTGTCAATTAATTGTTAGAAAATCTTTCAAAGAGTTTTATTGATACAAAATGTTAACCAATTGACAAACTAACTTTTCATTACTCTTCAAATAAATTTATTTTCGAAAAATCGGTGATTCTGTGGTCTCATTTTCCCTAAAAAGTAACTTTGTTAATAATAAGTGCATGCATGCTTACCTCTTATATTTAGAAGATTTCAGTTTGGAACGATTTTCTCTAATAAGTTGGGCGATGAATATCAGAGAGAGAGAGAGGGGAGATTACAGGAGAGATTAACATCCGAAGTATTTCAGCTGCTACCTTTGGAATTCTAATATTGAGGAAAGAATATACTTCTAATTTAAAGCTTCCAAATTGTTTCTTTAAATTAGAGTTTTTCAACCTGTGGTTCATGGACCCCCAAATAAATCTATTTTGATATTATCTATTTAAAGTTTTAATAGATAATATCAAAATAGATTTATGTGGTTAATCTTAAATTTGAAAAAGGCATAGATATATATTTGCACCTAAAATATTCTGTCAGACTCTGCAAGCGTTAGAGAATCGTGCAATAGTGTGCGGAAACAATACTTTTAACGAACACGTTTACGGACGCAAATTTGTTTTTAAAATCATATTGAGAGGCACTCGGAAATATTTTTAAAAAAATCACGCATGTGAGTGCAATTGTTGTGACGATTTATGATTCGCATTCCTCCTCTAAAGACCACCTTCAATCAGGAACACTCATGGGAGGCACGGGATTTTTTTCATAGACTTTGTGCTGAAGAAAACCTTTAGGAGAGATCATTGAAACCTCTCCCCAGACAAACATCTGCACCCAATGAGGAGAAGATCACATAAGGAAACACGAAAAAATATCGAAACAAAGCAAATAAGTAGATAAACATTTATTCAAAATTTTCGTGTGAGTTTCTAATTTAGAGATTTTTGACGATATAACTTCATGTTGCAATCAGAGCGCACTCGAGACGATGATTTGCTTTTAGAATTGAAAGTTAAATTAGAAGCAAAAAGTTACTTACGAAAAAAAACTAAGCCTCTTCTCATCTTTTAAAGCTAACTCATCTTTACGATATAAAATTAAATGCAAACTTAAACAAAAACCTTAATTGTTTATTTATTTAAAACAGTTTTATCATTCATAATTGGTAAGTTTGTTTAATTTACACCTATAATTATACCAGTTGGGATCATTTTTATTGAAGCTAAACTGTGTTTATTTATAGACACGACACCAACAGAAGTGACATTTCCGAGTCAGGAAAATGACACCGACTAAAAATAAAATCTCATGTGAAAATCTCTGATAACAATTTTGAAGTCAATGGAGAGACCTTTCACTCAAACTGCATTTAATTTTAAGAGAATTCTTTTCCAATGACTGGTATAATTGGGATATCGCATAAAAATATTCACCTGTTGTCTTCAATGAAACAAATTAGCTAAGAAAGTAAATATGAGAAAACGATGAGGCAAATGATGTGATATTAGGATGATTCTCATGTGACTTCCAAATTTTTTCATGTTTTTAGTCCCAGAAAAGTGTATTTGTGACTACCGACTGATAAAAGTCACACTAAATAGTCAATGCTACTTTTATGTGATATCACAAAACAAAACATCAAACTCGCATTGTGACCTGTTTCGGACTAGCGACCGCTCGTCTGGGAAGTGGCGCATTCTAGCGCTGCTGTATTCAATAAGTATATAAATTAGGAGATAAGGTAGGCACTATCAGGGCCTGATTATCGCCTAGGGCTCACAATCTCTGGAGGCCTCAAAAATTAGTAAAAAGTCCTCAATATTATTATTTCTTTTAAATACTGAAAGAAACCGTTTTTCTATTAAAAAAAAAATTCATTTATTTTATTTCAAATTTTCTTTATATCGTGATAAAACCAAACTCGCAACCAACATTGCAGTAATCAAATTCGAAAGTAAGGTGGGCTGGCTCTGTATTCGTTAAACTAATAAATAATTGCAGCTTAATGACACAGAAAATGTCCATGATAGTTCTTGTTTGTGGTCACCTTAAGTCTTTAACTATTTTTATTTGAATATGAACTTTTAGCAAAAATCGCTAATATCTATTGTTTGTGGTCACCCAACTACTTTTTATTTTGACATAACATTGTTTTGTTTTATATTTTGCTTTAACATATAGATGCATAAACTTTATCTTCGAAAAATAATCTTCAATTGTCTGCTTTTAAAATTCCTTAGAATGTTTCTCTTGCAGTTCAAAAGACTCGTTTTTACTGTTATGGTTACTCTTTGGTAATTTAATTTCAAAACATTTTTTGTAGAGGGCCCGGAAAATTTGGTGGCCCTTGGGCCTGTGCTTTTGTCTTGATCTCTCCCTGGTCACTACAGTTTGTCTGTAGAAAGAAAACTTCTCTCGCCAGGAAGTCTGCTGCTAAGGAAACGAGAAATTGGGCATTTCAGAGAAGACTTTCTCCCTTCATTTCCTTTCTCTAGCCAACACGAGCCGAAACTCGTCTTAAATAATGACCCGACGCCCTTACTTGAAATAGTCAACCATAATCATAGCCAACGAATGGATTGGGGAGTTCTTTACAAAGACAAATTATACTATTTTTGTCCTTCACTTACATACACACACGGAGTGATGTTTTTGTCAACGAACGCAACTGTGTGTGAACGGGAGAGAGAAAGTTGATGATCTTTATTTATTGCTATTTTGAACCACGCTAAAATTTAAGGTTCACGTCTAATTAGACAAAATTATATCATTACAATTCTGAAAAATCAGTATTTTCAGAAAGACTACCTGATTTCGAAATCAAAAATCAACGATATCGATGTTTTTGCGTCATTGCAGTGAAGAGAATACTTCAACAATTCAAAATCGTTTTTTTTTTTTTTTTTCTATTTCCAGCAGCAATAAATAAAAGTATTAGAAAATATAAAAACAGACTACGATGCAGTATTAAAGTACCTATTCTAAAATTCCAAACTGCTTAACTTCATTGCCTTACATTTTTTAAAAAATAATAATAATAATTATAGTTTTAAAAGTTACCATATGCTATTTTACCTTATCCAACAAAGCGCGACATTACTTTTTATTTATACTATTGAATGATGCACCATCTACAAAAAGTAGTTGAGAGCAAAAATGTCGTAAGAAAAAAAAAAGAGAACCCAAAGCCTAACCTAAAATCCAAAATGCCGCGGTTTTACATTTTAATGTAATAAAGGCTTTGTTTGCTAATTATCTGAAACTCCTTTTTTAATGAGAGCTATAAGCTAGCAACCGAATATATATGAATTTATAATTTTCTTTTCATATTTTTTCTTTAAAATATTTGAAAGAAAAAAAAACTCATCTGCGACAGTTTAATTTTTATCAATAGCGCATTCTAAGCTCATAAAAAAATTCCATTCTTCATACGGATCTACCAAACGAAGTAATTGAAATTTTCAAACGTCTTTGCTCCTTGTAGCCGCTGTCATATTTCAAGAAAATAGATAATTGACAGGATAGTAGATTTATAGTTATAAGAGAGACACACAAACTCATTCTTTATTTTATCATAATAGATTCATTGAAATAAATATATTTATGATTCACTGTTGTCATACTGAACATTGTCATTACATCAAACCTTAAATAGTTTTCATTTTAATCAATAGATGGCATCACCAACTTGAACTTACTTCTCACATTTGAAGTTCTAGAGGTGAGGTTTACCGTGTTGAGCGGAACACCGTAACGTTATTTCGTGGAAGAATTTCACTGTTTTCTTTCAAGAGAAACGACTTTCCTTAACCAGTAATAATTAAATTTATATCGAATCAATGATCCATAATTTATATAATATTTTGGTTATTTTCATGAAATTTTTTATGCAAAATGCCTCTTAAAAAGGAAGTAATAATTTTTTCTTTATTTTTTTTTTTCAGTTAAAATGTGTGAAACAAATTTATAAAAAGAATATGCATTTATAAAAAATTCGATATTTATTTTTTATCGAGCTTTTCAATTCGAAATAAAGTAATTAAATTTGAGATGGACCTTTCCTTAAATATTTTTAAAATTTAGTAGACTTTTTGTTTTAGTTAGTGTATTTACAATACACAGTTGCTAATGAACTTTTTTTTTTCCCTTTAGGACCAGAAGAAGCTCAATTATTTAGAATTCCAAAGCTAAAAAAAATTGAGAACCGCAGTTCTATAGGATACTTTTAGTTACCGCCCATAAATGTTATCAAGCTTGATTGTTTCTGATTTTTTTTTTTTTCCAAAGGAATAAAATAAAAGAACGTAATGTGATATCAGTTTGACTACAGCACTTAGTACATTTTTCAAATGAGTCCGGGAGTAATGAATATGCGTAGTGTTTAAAAAAGTAAATGAGAATTCTTTTTTTCTTTCTAGCTGTTTCTAGTCTAGTCTAGTTGTTGTAGCACACCACACTCCTACTTTTAAAACATTCGCAAAAAAAAAAAAAAAAAAAAGATTTAAGTTGTAATCAGAATTTGAAGGCACAAAAACCAAAATCGGTTATTTATTTCGTTTTAATTTTTTTTTAACGAAATTTTATTTTTTCAACCAGCCCGTCATATCTTCTTTACATTAGATCCATCATTCCTTAGGAATGGTATGTACATCGAAATATTAACCAATTAAAATAATGTTTCAATAATAGTAGCTTAAACGTCGTGTGCATTTCAAGTGCTTATAAACATCCCTCTCAAGCATACGTTTTAAAACAGTAAAATAATTAGGCATTTATTTTGTCTCAGTCAAAGTAGTTTTCTTTAACCAAAAGTTAGTTTGGCATTTATAAAAATTTGAATCCATATTATAAACTCACTATCGTGTAAATGTTGGGGGAAATTCTTCAATGCCAAACATTTATTATTGACAACAAAGAATTTTTACATGAAGTGGGAAGAATGTTTAAAATGCCTCTAAAACGCCGTCATTCATTTGAATTTAATAACCCTATCTTTTTCTTCATAAAATACTTTTTATCGAGCTAAATATTTATCTTTTAACAAAAATTTACTTTTTTAAATAAAAAATAATAGTTACAGATTTAAATTTTTAATTGACGCAGTGGTCCAATGGTTGACTGGCCAAATGCCTGAGGGCGCTTCACACGCGCAAGTCACTGATTTTATTCATAAAACAATAAATCGAAGCTAAATAATTATCATTGTCATCAGTTAGAGTGGTTGAATAATTTGATGAAAAGTCAATCGACTCTAATTGAGTGAGCGATTTTCACCCTCTGAACCATCAATGGTCTAATCAAAGAATATATTCTTT